CTTGATGTCCGGCCACACTTACTTGTACTGAACAAGATGGATGTGGCAGACATATCGAAAAAGCAGGTGTCTTCATCATCTAATGTGTTTCATTATGAACTTAAATTTATTTATAAATGAAAGCACCAAATGTACTTTTATACTGTGCTGAAAGTGAATTTAACAGTTTTTTTTATCGTCCCCAGAGTATTCTGAAGCAGTTTGAGAGAGAGGGTGTGAAAAATGTTTTATTTACAGACTGTTTAAGACAACATGATGAGAATGTAAAAAAGGTGAGCGGCGTCAGACATTACATTACTTATTTCTAAACAAAGCTCTACTGAAGAACCTGGCACATTTTTATTTTAAGCATCCTGTCATTCGCTGTCTGATGTTCCAGATTGTTCCTCTCGTGTCGAAGCTGATAGAAAGTACATCACGTTTTCACAGGGAAGAGGTGAGTTTGAATTGTTTTAGTAGTGTACATTTGGATACAAAGTTTTCTGACTTTCTCTTTCATCTATGTGCAGGAAAGATGTTACTGCCTGATGGTCATTGGTGTGCCAAATGTGGGAAAATCATCACTGATTAATGCTTTAAGGAGGACATATTTGAAAAAAGGTATTAAATGTATGCTTTAGAAAAATGCTGACAATAATTCCTATACCCACAGAAGACCTAAGCATTGATTATTTTTATTACCATCAGGCAAAGCTTCAAAAGTCGGAGCTGAACCAGGCATTACAAAGGCTGTCCTGACTAAAATTCAGGTATTAATTATAATGAGTTTGTTGATTAATTTGGGTTGTTTTTGTCTAGGGCTGGGAGGTATGATGATAGATATCGTTACTGCGGAATAAAATGAGAACTATAAAAGATTTATTCTGTATATATCATGAAACGTAAATAAGTGGGCATGGCCAACGCACATTTAGCAATGGGCTATATGCACAGCTAGTGTTTTTAGCCATTGATAAACTTCCGGTGAAAGCTTAATGTGACTATTGTCAATTTCATTAGGTTCCTTTTACAGCATGGATGTTGTAATGAAATTATAATACATTCAATTCCAATTCATCTTTATTTGTATTGCGTTTATACAATGTAGATCGTGTCAAAGCAGCTTCGCATAGAAGATTATAGTGAATTGAAACAGTCTCAGTTCAGTTTTCAGAGTTTAAGTTCAATTTAGTTCAGTTCATGTCAGTGTGGTTTAATATTCACTGAGAGTCCAAAAACTGAAGAGCAAATCCATCAATGTGCAGCTCTACTAGTTCCATACCATGCAAGCCAAGGGCATTCATTTAGTTGTTCAAGTGTAAAACGAGATCAAAGAGCATGTAATAATCAATATTATCATCAGGATCAGCAAGCGACCACAGAAATTCCATTGAAAATACTGGTGTAAAAAAAAGGTCATATTTTAAAGAAATGGCAGGGAAATTTGTTAGTTTTATGTTATGCTTCTTGTCTAGTCTGAGACCCACTTAATATTGTATATCTATCAGGCAGTGAAGATCACTAATTTCTTTTTAAAAATCAGAGCTTAAATGTGGCAATTTTATAATGGATAGACTATTATAGATGGAGTTCACCGGAAGCTCTGAGGCTGGCTGGCTAAAAATTAAAAGTCTGTGTGCATATACCTTATTGTTCATCACTTGGTTTCAATATTTATACAATAATTATAATTGTTTATATTGTTGTATATTTGAGAAAAATCATCTTTTTATTTCCTTAAAGTGTTTACATATTTAAAATTTTATATTTAAAGGTGCAGTAGGTGATTGTCTTTAATAACATTTTTAGTTGTGCTGGTTGAAAGTCTCTTCACAGTACAATAGTACTGATTGAAGTAAACGATCTAAATGTATTTAAATGTATTTTTATATCCTGGTAAGGCATAAAACAAAAAAAATGTTCATCCAATTAAATATTGTCAGGCCGACATCTCCCATAATTCCGATAAGTAGCCCAAACTGTCTGTCAACAAATGTAGATTTGGGCTTCTGCACGCTTCTGTTTTAGCGTGTGCACGCCTGCATGCGCACCACACAATCACATGCATATGAGACAGTCACAGTCGTGGTAAAATCAAATGCTGGATTGAAACTTTTTTAAATCCCGAATCAATATTGAAGTTACTTTTGCACGCTAGAGGAAGGACAACACCATGGCTGAAGTATTTCTGTTAGACAGGTAATGTTCTGTTTTAAAAGTATTTTAGTCCCCCTCCAAAGCTGATGTAGATTGTGTTGTGTTATGAAGGGTTATATGCACAGACATGTTGTTCAACCACTTAAATCTAAGAATGATTGTAGTGACTATTTTTGGTTTCATAAGGTCCTTTTACAGCATCGATTTAGATAGATTTAGATTTAAAACATCAGTAAATACTACATAGAAGTTGCTTTTATATTCACATTGGTTTATTTTAGAACAATGACAGTCTCCTGATACTGTTTACCATGCTACTCTGAATATTTATTTTGATATAGCATGTAAGTGTAGCTTGGTAATAAGTGAAATTCCTGCATGTCGCTGGCCAACCACTTACTACATTTCTAACTGGTGAATGACTTGACCTAGTGGGTTATATGCTCTCATGTTGCGGTTCGCTCATTCGCAATTTCAGAAGACGTATCTTTGAAACGCAAAACACTACCCCCACCCCCTTGCCGTCCTAAGATAATATGCTCACCGGAAAGCATTTTGGCAGACCACCTACTGCACCTTTAAGTAATATTTTCCTGTTACTTACTTAGGATATTTTTTGTGTCTGTGAGAAGATTTTACTTGTGATTTATTTTTTTATAATAATAATAAGGTCTGTCCACATAAAATTGTAAAATTTCACATACTGTGAAATTTGTTTTTTATTTAAAGTCATTATTTATTTATAAGGTTAAAATAGTATACAAAATAATCAAATAAGATCAAGTCCTTTTGTTAAATATTTAAGCTTATATATTATATAAAGCCCTTTTTTCTATTTTCTGGATTGTACCACCCAGCTCTATTTTTGTCATATAACATTAAATTGATTTATGTTTTGCTAGGTCTGTGAGAGACCCATAATTCATTTACTGGACACACCAGGAGTTCTTCCACCTAGAATAGAAAACATAGAGACGGGAATGAAACTTGCTTTATGTGGTAAGTCTACCTTAGTGTCTTTGTTGCAATAATCCTAATTGTGAGGTGGTCCAATGTTTGTGCTTTTTAAACAGGTACGGTTTTGGACCATTTAGTTGGTGAGGATGTCATTGCAGATTTTCTGCTTTTTTCATTGAACAGACTAGAAAGATTTAGGTATGTATAATGGAGTTGTGAGTAGTAAATAATTATTTGATGATGTTGTGTGGCATAGTACTGCTTCAAGAACAGAAGAGAAATCCATAATGATTGTGACAATTTCTCCTGTAGTTATGTAGAGAAGTACAGTCTTGAAGAGCCTTGTGATGATATTCAACATGTACTGAAGTGTATAGCAGTGAAACTTGGCAAGACCAGACGTGTAAAGGCCATCACTGGTGTTGGTGAGTAGATTCAGTCTGGTCGCTTCGTTTTCATTTCAGTAATTTCACATAATTAATAAATAAAGCAAACTTTAATTTCATAAAGTGCCTACATTATGCTTTTTTAGAAGGTCGTCATTTTACATAAGAAAAGGGAGGATCTCCTTTTTCAAAAATTTGATAGAACCTTAATGTAAAGAGTTATTATTAATATTTCGGTCTGCACCACAAGCTCCATTTTTTTTTTTAATGAAATCACAGATTGCTATGCGGTTGCCATTGGTAAAGTTCACCTATGATGAACATCACAAACCTGACAAATTCTGGTTGATATGGTCTCCTCATCAACAGCTCTCGTGATGTCTATACAGTACTGTTTGTGATATTCTTTCAGTCTTACTTCTGAAAACTGCTCTAAAACAATGTGATCATTTTGATTGATCATGTTTTTAAAATGTTATTTCCTTTAACTTTTACTTCTAGAATTTTTTTAAGTTTTAAGCACTTTGTAACAGTATATGATACAACACGGGTAATGTTATCTGATACTATGGGCAAACAATAAAAGAAAAAGTACTATATAAAATAAATAAAATATACATACTTATATTATACAACAGGGGTGTCCAAACTCGGTCCTGGAGGGCCGGTGTCCTGCAAATTTTGGTTCCAACCCCTATTAAACACACCTAAACCAGCTAATCAAGCTCTTTCTAGGTGTACTAGAAACTTCCAGGCAGGTGTGGTATATGAAGTTGGAGCTAAACTGTGCAGGACACCGGCCCTCCAGGACCTAGTTTGGACAGCCCTGTTATACAGCATATGCATATAGAAGATAAAATACACATTACTGTAAAATAAACCATCCATAAAGCAGTCTATAATGTACAAATAATAATTTAACTTTTTTTATGTTAAAGTAAAAAAAACACCCAATTTCGTTTTAGTCAATTTAATTTTCCTTTAATTCTTCCCAAGGATTTACTCTGTTATCTGCTCTGACCTCTGATCTGATTAGTCAGATGAACCGACCTGTTTTGATTGGTCTACCATTTACAGCATGTCATTGTTAGCACATCTGAATTTGGAATTATTGCTGACTTACTTATTTCTACATTTTTCATACACTTTGATCTTTAAAACTTTGCAGACATTTTACATACAAACTGATATATTACTCTTCCAGGCAATATGCATAATATCAGATCGTAATAGGGGGGAAAACTGTGTTAAACCACAGCTTATGGAATGTATTTAACCAATGATGAATCCACTCTTTAGGCAACATCACGGTGCAGTTGCCAGACTACAGTGCAGCAGCCTATGATTTCATCAGAGCGTTCCGGAAAGGAGAACTTGGAAAAGTAATGCTTGACTAATCAAATGTTTAATAGCAGATTGGTAATTATTATTGCTTTGAAAGCTTGACCTTCAGTCAAGACTGAACACTTGAGAAGCACTTAATACTTTTGATGTTTTAATTAAAAGGTTGTGCGCATGGTATCTTTGACACATCTTTGCTTTTATTGTGTAGTTATTAGAAAAAGTGCATTGAATATATTCTTTTTTGATTACTGCATAAGTTACAATACATTATTCAGTCTCAATTGAACAGCTTTGATATCTTGTGAGCACACAAAGATTACAACCAAACTGGAACTGGCAACACAAAAATACTTCATTTGACTCTTTTTCTTTCACAGTTCTCATTCATATTACTATATGGAATACTTGGCACGTGTTTGCTTTTATTTCTAAAATTATATCTTGAATATATCTAACGGCTGGCAAAAAGAACATTTATAGTGTTTCTCTCTCTCTAAATATACAGTATATATACTAAAACATTTAATTTCACAGCTTATTAAACACTTAATACATACAGTATTCACATTAGTTTACAGGTTATCAAAATTCCCTACTAGAGAAATACAAAATTGTTTTAATACATCAAAGTATGACTAAAGTAGGAATTTATAAACAGGACATTTACACACCTCCGCAGTGGAAGTACAGGTACAGAAAGACATACAGTGTTTTTTTTTTTTTTTTTATCATCTAAATGTGTTACAGCAACAAAATATTTTAAATATAACAGACAAAGATTCATATAAAATGTTTGTTTGTGTAAATCTCAAAGACAGTGGTGCTTCTTCAGCAGTAACACTTTAGTATTTTTGCCATCCAGGACGAGATGTAACCAGCATAATTCAAGCAGACTATAGGTTTATAGTTACTAATGCTCCTGTTGAAGCGAACTAAGCAGTCTAACCCTTCCGATCCTATTTCTTAAATGTCTACTTAACTAAACAGAGGATTTTTAATCTTTCGTTTGTCTTCGAGTGCAACAAAGTACACATTTTTAAACATGGGTGTTGCACAGTAACATATATAAGCAGCTTATTAAGCTGTTTGCCTCAAGGGGCAAAGTGCATCATGTAGTTTATTGGTAAAAGCAGAGCTGAAAGTCTGGTGATGGTGGAGTCGTGCACTGTTGCGCCTGATGTCCTGGCGAGGTAAAGCTCCCAGTTTGTTCTGTTACTGTAATAGTCATCTCCACGTTCTGAGCTGTCGTCCGGGCGACGCTGAGCTGATGCGTACCACCCTCCAGCTCCGAGTGCCACTGCTGCTCCAGCTGCCGCAGCCCCTGCGACCCGTACAGCGGGGGAGCCTCTTGCGCGGGACGTCCGGCCACCTCGAGCAGTGCCCCGTGCTGAACCCCTGGCACCTCCTCTGCCACCCTTGGACATCACCTGATCGCACAGGAAAGCTGATAGCAGGAGAAATATACAGCAGGTGGCGACTGCCCTGTTCATTCTGGATCACCCTGGGTTTGGAAGAAAAGTGTGGAGATGATGATGAACGCTCAAAATCCACACTAACACAGTAGTTACAGTATATTAGTTCTTACACAGCAGATGAACATATCCGCCATCTGCTGCTTTAAATGTTAATGTTAAATAAGGATTAATTCTAACCACTGTGTTCAAATGTGTTTTGAAGGTTTCTTAGAATGAAAATAGGCATATCTGAAAAATAAGAGTTCCTTGTACTTATGTAAATCTTGTGAGTGTAAAAAAAAGAGGTCAGTTGGAATAACTGCACACGGGATCATTAAAATTCATGCTGTGTTAGATTGGCTTTAATGTTTCCTAGTGAGATAACATTTTCTCTTTTATTTTTAAGTTTATCTAAGCGTGCATTATGCCTACTTCTAAGGCTTTAATTTTGAAAACTAGACAGTTTTTAACTTGGAAGAGTAAAGGCTTATTTAAACTTATGCGTCAAGCGCACGGGCCGCACGCGTATGGTCTGGTGCAGCCTTTATCCGGTCACATAGCTGTGGCTGAAACCGATGCTGATGCGCACCTCACAAAAAAAAAAAATCCAACTACACGTTGCAACCATGTAGCGCAAGCTCTGTGATTGGTTGACTGATAAACAGGGGCATTGGTGAGAGCTGCAAGCCCGATGGAGCGAGTTGTTTACAAATGTCGAGTTGGAATTTTTTTTGTGTTTACCTCATGATTAAAGTTGTTGCACATCCACCAGTTCCCACCTCCGAATGAGTGTGTTTTAGCTACTTGTAGCAATCAGAATACAACAAAAAACACTCGCGAAGTTACTCAAGACAGAGGAACATAAAATCCTACTGCCATCTAGCATTTGCACAACTACATGCAAGGCTTACATCGCAGGTCACACCGTCATGTCACAGTACATTCATTCATTTTCTTGTCGGCTTAGTCACTTTATTAATCCAGGGTCGCCACAGCGGAATGAATTGCCAACTTATCCAGCAAGTTTTTACTCAGCGGATGCCCTTACAGTTGCAACCCATCTCTGGGAAACATACACACACACACACACACTCATACACTACAGACAATTTAGCCTACCCAATTCACCTGTACCGCATGTCTTTGGACTGAGACCGGAGCATGCGAAAGGGGGGAGAACATGCAAACTCCACACAGAAACGCCAACTGAGCCGAGGTTCGAACCAGCGACCAAGCGACCTTCTTGCTGTGAGGCGACAGCACTACCTACTGCGCCACTGGTCACACCGATCACTCGACACAAAAGTATAAAAAATCCTTAGCAGTTCTGTGAGAGGCCACCATGCTTCAATCTCATATGTTTACAGCTTGTCAGAATGCAAAATGCAGGATATATGGATTGTAAATGTATGCAGTGCTACCTCAAGGATTCACATAGTCAGTTTTAAAGATTAGTTTAACATGTTTATTATGAAATTTGCTGCATACGTTTGTAATTAGGAAACAATCCACTGCTAAATATGCATGTACTGTATGCATCATATCATATCACTCAGTGTTTACTGTGTTTCTTTCTGGAAGGAATGGATGGCAATAAACATCAAAAACTCAACTATTTATGTAGAGGCTGATATTAGTTCCTGCCTGTGTTTTATTTATGTTAAAACTAAAACGTACACTGTAAAACCCTAAAAGTTAGGGTAACTTAAACTATTTGAGGAAACCGATTGCAACAAAAAAAAAATTAAGTTCAAAAACTAATCCTAATGAGTACTCTGAACTTAATTCATTTGAGTAAATAAAGCAGTTTGAGCACAGTAAAACCCAATAAATGAAGAGAACTCAAACCAACTGAGTACTGTAAAACCCAATAAGTTAAGGCAACTCAAACCATTTAAGGAAACGAATTGCTACACACCATTTTAGTTAAAAAAAATAATAATCTATACTGTGAACTTACTCCATTTAGGTTGGAGTAATGAGATATTTAATTAACTCATTACCTTCAACACTGAGTTCAAAACTCTTTTCAATTGAGTAGAATTCAGTAAATTTGAGTAAACTACACTCATTTTGTTTAATAAAGTTGACGGGTTTTACAGTGAATGTCAATACATTCGTTCTATGGCACCTTTAACTACTTATCACTCTTAATTTTCTTCTGTGTTTATTTTGTTGTTGAGTGGAATGCACATATTTACATATATGCTGGAACATGTAGCTGCATTCTGGGCGGCACTGGGTTGTTTGTGACTAGTATAACTTTATTTTACATCATTCTTTTTACCCCTAAGAAAAGAATGAAAAATAACTTTACTTCACTAAAACTCAATTTTACCAAAACAATCACCACTGTGACCCCTGTTTGTATCTGTATACTTTGAAAAAATATTTTTAAATCACATTTACATTTTATAAATGTCAATGCTATGGGTTTTGGTGTCAAAAAGGTCAAGAACAACACCATAAGGCCAAAGTTAGAAATCTCTAAAAAGTATTTGGGATATTTGGTTGTCAGATGTTGTGAACCAGATGCATAGTTTAAGTGATGAATCACAATGTCAAAAACGTTTGTCATTTTTAGTGAAGAAAAAAACAGTTTCTGTTAACTTTGATTCACCTTATCATAACAATGTAATTTTATTGTAAAATATAATTTATTTCTATACTGAATTCCTTGTGCAATCTATATAATTTATTTAAACTATTATCATTGAATGTGTTATGGGCATGTTTTACATTTTATTTTGTAAGTTTTCTAAACATATATTGCATGTGTGTGTGTTTTGTATCTAAGGGTGTTTTCTGTGTGTATTCTTGCCATTTATGAATATAGTTTTTTTTTTGTTTGTTTGTTTTAAACAATATAGTTTCATTTATTTATTTTGCTTCCAAAATACTAACTGGTTAAAAAATAATTGTGAATTTACAAAGGAAAATAAAAGCTTCCAAAATCACTTCAGATGGTTTTATAGTATGTATGTGCTCACATAAAAAGAATGACATCCATGGATGGGTGAATGAACACAAGTAACGCCCAAAAATATCAGTTCTGTTGTCATTTACTCCACTTATTACTGAATTTCTTTCAAATTCAAGACATTTTAAGAAATGCTGGTAATAAAACAGTTGATATAATTCATATTTTCTATTTATTAACATTTTTTTTCAATAGAGGTAATGGCTGACTGGTAAACAACATTCTTCAAAATCCTTTTATATTCAGTATGAGAAACTATACTTGGATTAACTTGGGTGCAGGTAAGTAATTTTTAAATTTTTGGATGAACTAATGGCCAAGCATTTGGATAATTGTTTAACATTTAAAATTTTTTTTGAGTTTTGGTATATTATTCCTGTTCGTATTGCTTTTTTTAACATAATTCCATCCTTTTACATATAAGTAGGTTACCATAAAACAATAAACTGTCGGTGGCTAATAATGAGCTAATATTCCTATTAAATAGGTCTTAATATCTTTGTCTTAAATATGATATGGTTGTGTGTAATGAAGCGAGGTAATCTGGCTTTTCTCCAACTGGGTCAAGAAATACGGTCATTTACAGTCTACAATAACTGATATTGAGCTCAGAAGAGTATATTTTCCTAAAACTGTATCACTGAAGACAATCCATATCCAGAATAATGCGATTTGTGCAACATCTTTCGCCTGGTCACATTTAAAATGGTCACTATATCAATAATTTATTTCGTATTGAGAACACGACAATGTAACCAATTAAACAGTAACCATGAGCAGTCTGTGAGAATATCTTAGACCGATATGTTTGATTAAAAGAAATTACATCAATTCTTACAGACTGGACAAATGCTAACGACGTCGACTGATGTTCACAAACAAGGCGTTTCAAGTCTAGCGTCGTGGTCTTTGTTGTAGTATGTGTGTTATCAAATGTATGCTACACCTCCGCAACAACCCGTCATTCTGCATGCTCATTCATTTAAATCCTTTTATCTTCAGCCATATCGAGGTACTTACCTCCGTTTGTGTCCGTGTCCACAGAATATCCCACGATATCTCACTATCATGTGTGAGATCAAATAAAATGCACGCGTTATATAAGGCAGCACACAGCTCGTAGGCTATATGAGCTGCTGCTGGAGATGAATTAAAACATGGCAGGTGTATGATCATCAGGTTTGGAAAATGCAGTGTTTAGAATAACAGCTTCCATCGTTTTATTGTCTAAATGCAGTTTTGAAAACGGATTTATTTACGTAACCTAGATTATAATAGGCTTCATAATACGTTAATTCAATCTACGGACATAAATTGACAGTATTCTCGCGTAAATAACTAGGGTTAAGGCTTGAAGAAGTTCAAGTTCAATAGTCTGGAATGGTCCAGGTAAAACCAAAGACCATGCAGTTTTGAATACATTCAATTAAAATTTAGAACGATAATCGTCTGCGCCTATAGGTGAATAATTTATGCTTAGTTTAAATCCATCTTTTGAGACAAACATAGCAGAATAATTGTAGCCTATATGCAACATTTGGTCTTTTCCAAAGCTATCTAATAATACATTCAGTCTACTAAATTAGAAATGTAAAAATACACACAGTGACTTGTTTTAAGCAAAGATTGCATGCATTTAGCTTGATGAAGTCAAGAATGGAATAGAATAAGTAGAACAGAATAGAATAAACAAAATTGAATAGAATAAGCAGAAAAGAATAAACAGAATGGAATAGAATAAAATAAAACAGAACAGAATTGACTAAAATCGAACAGAATAGAATAAAATAGAACAGAACTGAATAAGCAACAGAATAGAATGAAATAGAACAGAATAGAATTAACAGAACAGACTAATATATAATATAGTAAACAGACTAGAATAAAATAGAACAAAATAAAATAAACAGATTAAAATAAAATAAAACACACTACAATAAACAACATAATAACATAGAACAGAATAGAATAAAATAGAACAATAGAATAAACAACAGAATAGAATAAACAGAACAGAATAAAATAGAATAGAATAAACAGAACATAATAGAAGAAACGAAACAGAATAATAGAGAATACAATAAACAGAATATAATAAAATATAACAGAATAGAATCAACAGAATATAATATAGAATAAAATAAAACAATAGAATAAACAACATAATGACAGAATAACAGAGTAGAATAACATAGAATAGAACAGAATAGAATAAAATAGAACAGAAAAAAATATAAACGTTTTCAATTATCTGTCATATTGCTTTTATTGTTACATTAGAATACAGACAAAAACAATGCTGCTGGTGAAACATTTGATTAGCTTTTGACAAATAACTAAACAAACTGGACTCTACTTCTGTATCAACATGTGTAAATCCAAATATAATCCTGCTTCTATTTCAGAAATCCGTACTTGTTACACCATGCTCCAGTAGACCCTTTATAAATTATTTTTAAAAGGTGAATCTGACTGGAAATTGTATCATTCAGAAATGTAATGTCTAATCAACAGTAAGAACTAATAAGCTCACCTGCTACATCTAATATGCTAATATTTATTAGTACTGTTATATTAGTATAATATTTAGAAAGTTTAGGGTCAGTAAGAGTTTTATAAAATAAAATATTTATTAAGGAAGGATGGGCTCATTTGTAAAAGTAAACAAAAATTAAATACTTAACATAAGACAATTATCTTAAGCAACAAACAGTAATGATTACTAAAACATCATGTGACAATGCAGACTGGAACATCACGGAAATTTCATTTTAAAATATATTAAAATATTTGGAATTGCACTAAAATATCACACCTTTGTATTACTTTCATGCTTTGACCAGCAGGTGGCGCCACAGTTACTCTTTACCCTGACCCAGATCACAGTGCTTTCATAGAATTAAACAAGTTTTGCTTTATGTTACGACTTGTATTATAATATTAATAATTATTTAGTCGTGGAAAACAACAAAAAGACAAATTATATGTTACAAAATAACCCACAATCTTTTACTAAATTACTAAAATATTAAATCTACAATGCAAATGTCTACAGCAATTAAAGGAATTGTCACATAGTCGCAAAAATGGAAATTCTGCCATCATTTACTCATCATCCGTTACAGCCATATCACCCTGCAGCCCAAGACCAGTTACTCACTGAAGCTAAGCAGGGCTGAGCCTGGTCAGTATCTCGATGGGAGAACACATGGGAAAATTAGGTTGCTGTTGGAAGTGGTGTTAGTGAGGCCAGCAGGTAAAGTGAAGTGCCCCAGATGAGTAAAGGGGACACTCTACTGACAGTGAGATGTTAAACTGAGATCATTAAAAAATCCCACTGCACTTCTTCGAAAGAGTAGGGGTCTGGCCAAATTCCTTTCATCGGCCCTCACCCATCATGGCCTCCTAATCATCCCAATCCACTGAGTTAGCTCTATTACTATCTGCTCACTCCATCAATAGCTGGTGTGTGGTGAGCGCACTGGCGCTGTTGTCCTGTGGCTGCCGTCGCATCATCCAAGTAGATGCTATAAAAATACACATTGAATTACACATGTTCCAAACCTGTCTGAGATGTTTTGAAGAATGTTGAGGAAAAAACAGCCATTGACTTCCATGGCATTTTTCCTACTATGGATGTAAATGGCTGAATTTTCCAATTATTCTTCAGAACTTCTTGAGTTGTGTTCACAGGAGAAAATCATAAAAGTTTAGAACAGGGGTCTCAAACTCAATTTACCTGGGGGCCGCAGGAGGCAAAGTCTGGGTGAGGCTGGGCCGCATAAGGGATTTCACACAAAAAAGTCCTCAAATGTCATTATTAACAGTTTTAATTATTTCTTCTGAACATTAAGTGTCCTGAACATTAATAGAACATTGAGTGAAGATTATGAACAGTTCTTCTGAACATGGCATCTTTTTCCAACTCCTTGTTGCCAGAGACTTGACAGCGCTTCTTCTCACAAATCTGAACCACATTTGGCTTTAGAGCGGAAGCAGTTGAGACCCTCAGTATGGCTTGAAGATGATCATCATTAAGTCTAGACCTGTACTTTGACTTATTGAAGTTCAAGGTGGAGAATAACTTCTCACACAAATATGTGCTCCCAAAAAGGCCAAGTCCCAGGGAAAAAAGTGGGGGAACTCACTCAAAACTTCCATTCCCTCACCTAAAAAAAGGCGTATATATGTATAAATAAAACACCCCCACCCCACTCCAGTCACATCAGTCTGTACCAGTCTGTAATGTATCTACCTATAATATATATAAGATGCAGGCTGTAGCTAGGTAGCTAAGTGGCAGGCAGGGGCGGGAACAGCTTACCTTGGTTCTGGCCGGCGTGAGTTCCCTCCTACTTCCCGCCCGTCACAGCGTCTAACTAAGGGGCGGGGTGCATGGTGACGTCACCGGCATCCCCGCCCCTTTGTTTACACGGCGGGCGGGGAATGCCGGTGACCGATGTGTACGGATAGAATCAGCGGAGCGGATAGCGCTCTCTCTCCCCGCTCCGCTGATTCTGTCAATGTACAGCAGTCGGCGCGGGCCACAAAATATTGCACTGAGGGCCGCAAATGGCCCGCGGGCCGCGAGTTTGAGACCCCTGGTTTAGAACCACTTGAGTAAGTGTGAGTAAATGATGAGGAACGTTTCATTTTTGGGTGAGCTGTCCTTTTAAAGTGCAGAATTCAAAATGAAAGGAAGACTAGATTTTTCTGACATGTATGACTGTTGCTGTTGGCTAAGTAAGTTCTAAAACATCCCCCATTTGGAATCTGTCCTATATGGAATCTTGCTTGGCAGTCAAATTCAATTCTCGAGAGTATTTGGGATATAAATCTTTCTATTGAATATGTCTACATGTCTCAATTAGGTCCTTTAGCCCAGTAATGCCCAAACACATTTTTTGAGTAACCCCAAGACTACACAATTCGAATCTCTCGACTAGCTGTAATTTCAAAATGACGTCTGATGTACAACATTGAGCTGTTTACATCCTCAGGCTTGGAATGATCTGTTCATAGGATAGCCATACGTGGCATCTCAGTATATCTGCAATGGTCAGGTAGTACAAGTTACACCTCCCGATTTATAAGTTCTACAAGGACTTAAACACTTTTTACAAGTTGGAAACTAGTAATGCCTGTAATTACAGCACTGCGTGACTCCATCTTAGGAGTCTCTACTAATGAGCTAGTGAAAATCAGCAAAATGTGCTGCATTGGGGTTATTCTAGAAACGTGGTTTAATCTACTGCACCCGTGGTACCGGAACAGCAAGCAGGGTGGCGTAGGGATCCCAAAAACCCCTTTTTTCTCTTCTGAATGGATCCTGAGCTGTGCTGGGATGTTGTCGTGTTTTGCCTTGAAAGTTTTGCAGCTATTCCCTTAGTCTCTTTGATCTGTATCTCCAGATGTTTCTGAATCGCAAGTCCGAGTTCTTCTGGATCAACCGAGGCTCCATACACCTCCCAGGTCATTCCCTCAGCATCCCATTTCACCTCCCTCACTGGAGACTTTCGACTCTTTGACGTCTTCTGCTGGACTAGACACACTTCTGGGAAGACGTGCTGGGGAAGCTCTTTGGAGTCCTGACCCACCTGCACTCCTACATCTCTCAGGTCTTCTTGTGAGGTCATGGTACTCGCATCACTTGTCGTCTTTTCGTCCACCCATTGATGGGCGCCAACTGGACGCAATGGACCAGACCAAGAGCAGTCCATATTGCAGCAGCGGAGGAGTCGATTACCATCCAACCCAGTTTCGCTGACAGAGGAGATGAGCCGAGGAAGAGCAAGCAGGTTGCCTGTTTGTCCTTGGCCCTTGTAGCTCTCATCCATTCCTACCAAGTGTGGAATTAGTTGTGCTGGGGCAGGAATAGGTTGTGGGTGGCAATACGCAGCAAACGTGTCCTTGACAGCTCCATGGTGGAAGTGAGAGTTACAACAAACGGGCTTTTCAAATTTGGGGCAGGTAGACTCTGGAATGACTTCACAGATCTGAATGAAACTGTGTTTGGCTGGTTGAGTTGGGCTGCTCGACCCGCTGCTTCCAGCTCTGATGGAAGTGGTCACCGTGTTGCTTTGTTGAAGTGGCATGGCCTGTTTACACACTAAAGAAGGAAATGACTGCGCACAAACATCCTTCTCTCGTCCTTGGCAAAACAATGCGCCCATTTCACAGTAGAGAGGAGACGCTGCGGCATCTTTAAAAATCTGCAAGCTGTCAGAGTGGCTTCTTTGTATTGATAACAAACTGTGATCATTCAGGTCCTTATGCACCATCAGTGACCCACTACAGTCATGTTTATTCTGATGGCTCATTGGGTGTAAACACACACTGTCGGATACATGGGTCTCAGCAATGCGGTGGGGACTTGCATTGTGTTGATCAATCTGGCAATGGTTTAGGCGCTCTGTTGGGGCTTCACTGGAGCTATTCCTGAGCACATCTTCAGCTTTCAACTCTGATGAACAGCAGTCAGCTGTTACAAGGGGATCTGAGGGGATTGTTCCCACTGGTGGGAATGATATGGTGTGTCCAGCCTCTGCCATCAGATATCTGCTGGAAAAGAAGAGGATGAAAAGATATTTTTAGTTGATTAATTTTTTAAGTTGATTGAAAGTTGTTGTTTTTGGGCTTGTTTTTTAAAAAAACAAAGACAAACTTTTAGTTAGCTTGGATCCATTCAAACCAATCAATTCAAAGGGACAGTAATAAATATTTAGCAACACGATTGTTTTGAAGATTGATAGCCTTGATGTGATGAAGAGACATCTCTTGGATATAAATACTCTGACTAGCATGAACAATTTGAACAGATCTTCTGTAATACTTTTCAATGGATTGGGCTCGATTAATGCTGTTCACAGCAGATCTACACATTTATTTGACAGTATACAGAGAAGGGGAAAGGCTGGTTGAAGTGTCTGTGAATCTACCACGGTCCTAATTCCACTGGGTTTGATTTCTCACTCTACTGTCCCTAAGTACTGCAATATGCTGTTGCTATTCTTTGAGACAACAGCATAGATACTGTGAAGAACAGTTCCTTTGACTCCGCCCCCTTGTCAAATCAGGGCCAAAACGCGCAAAAACATAAAGTGCAAAGTGAAAACAGCATTGCAAACTCATCAAAATGAGCATTGCAATTGACTGGATGTTTTTTTTAAAGGCAATGCTATAAAAAAATATATTTACATTTTTTTTTTTGCAATTGTTATTTATTTTTTGCTCTGCTTGATTTTTATTTGCAGTTTTTTTTTCAAATTTCATTTTTATTTCTCATTATTTTTTGTTAGCAAAATTAATATTTATTAAAATTAAATTTTTACTTTGCCATTTTTAGAGATTTGCATTTATTTATCAATTTTTTTTTGCTCAATACTTTATTTTTTATTCGCAAAACTTTGTTTATTTTGCAAGTATATATGGCCTTAGATTGACTACTAAAGTCATTAAAGTTGGCTGGACTTTCAGTGGTGAACAGAAACTATGTATTACATTTTTGTGTTTTCATTTGCCGCAGTATCAAGAGACAGAAAAAAATCCAACAGTCAAAGAAATTAAGACATTAAATGAATTGCCTCGGCTGCAACAGTGTTAGCAACTTTCATAATTTAATATATTAATCACAAAGTATGAAACATGTGCATAAAAAAGCTAGATTAACAATGTTAGATTGTTAAATGAACCTTGACATTCAATAAAAAGGTTCCATTATAATGTTTATTTTGTTCTTAGTGCTATGCCATACATGAAACAAATGTGATATAAATTGCACAATCACAGAGATTGTGATATAAATTTCACAATCACAGAGGAATATTACGCAAAACTAAATTAAACTTAAAGCTGTAAAGTAACTGAAAGAGCCTTTCCTTCTAAAACAAACAGCAGTCTATTTTCTCAGTATATTTAGACACAGTGTGATGCAACAGCCTCTCATTATTAATTAACTCAAGGCCAAAGTGCGTCTTTCTTCCATTTAATCCAAAAATACCTGACAAGGTGAGAGCTACCTTCAGTGCGTCTGACCCCATCCGAAGACACACACATCAAAAAAATGATCACAGACAATTTTCTTTTTTTGAAAAGACATTCTTACCTTGTTCCTCAATCACAGGCGAAGCTTCTATTTACTGTCTTCTCTGGCACGTCGCTACCTGTCCACTCTCTACACTGGTCATCCCAGACTCCCAAGAGTGCAGCGTCAGTCCAGGTCCTTATGAAGGCAGAATCCGTCGTACAGCACTCACCATCACACGTCACCCATCCTGGCCCTTGTCCGCTCCTTCAGCATCCCCACTCCAGCAATGAAAAAGATGGAGGGAGCTTCGGGATTATACTCGTCTTTCATCTGATTACAAACCAGCCTCAGTCACATCTTCAAATCCCTAGGCAGGAGGGTATGTGTGTGAGAGAGAGAGAAAGAGAGAGATGAAGGAGGAATGTGTGCCCGTGTTTGTGTGAGTGTTCTGGGGAAAGACTATTTGTGTGATGTGGTGGAGGGCTGAAGGAGATTGGATACTGCGAGGAGGAGGAGAATATGGAGATGAGGAGGTGCAGTGGTGGTTAAGCCATTGGCATTGATGCAACTGAAAGCAAAAAAAGACGAGGAACTCATGAATGAATGTGAAGGAGGAAATCAATGGATGGTCAGACTAATTTTTTCTTACTCCCTCCCTATTGCCTTCGAATGCCAGCACTATGGGCTATGAATGAACGTGCACACACACACACACACACACACAGAGGGAATGTATTTCTGTCTTTCACCTCTTTCTTTATAAAGAAGTGCCACTCCCTTTCTAGGTCTCAGTGGCTTAACCATCATTCTCCCCCTGTTGCTATGGAAACAACATTTCTCAATGGGGCTAAGATGGATCTGCTTTTATTCGTAATACAGCGATGTGACCTGTTGTCTCTCTGTGAGTGTGTACTCAAACCATTACGAGACTTCCAAATAATCAACACTGCTGCCTCTGAGAGAAAACAGTGGAAAACCAGTTCTATGTACAGCTATCTATCTATCCTTTTATCCATTCATCCATCCATCCATCTATTTATCTATCTCCATCCGTCCGTCCGTCCGTCCGTCTGTCCGTCTGTCCGTCCGTCCGTCCGTCCGTCCGTCCGTCCGTCCGTCCGTCCGTCCGTCCGTCCGTCCGTCCGTCCGTCCGTCCGTCTGTCTGTCTGTCTATCTATCTATCTATCTATCTATCTATCTATCTATCTATCTATCTATCTATCTATCTATCTATCCATCCATCCATTCATCCATCAATCTACATCCATCCATCCATCCTTCCTTCCATCCTTCCATCAATTTATCTATCTCCATCCGTCCATCTGTCTGTCTGTCTATCCATCCATCCATCCATCCATCCATCCATCCATCCATCCATCCATCCATCCATCCATCCATCCATTCATTCATTCATTCATTCATCTATCTATCTGTTTGTCCATCCGTTTGTACATCCATTCAACTATCCATGTCTGTCTGTCTTTCTGCCTATCAGTCAATCTATCGGTCAAGAGAAATCCTTAAGGCTCAACATCTGGAGTGGAGTGTTAAAGAAGCACAGATTAAATACAGAAACAGACTGACAGAGAGAGTGAACAAGCAACAAAACAGCAGCCCCAATCATCAGTCTTGTATAAAGATTGATGCTTCTTTTTGTCAGTGTGTTAAAGATAAATGCAGCCTCTTTAGATGTAGCCATTTTTCAAAATGAAGTTGACCTTTGCTTGTGCTGCTGCTGACACAATTTTGAGGTTAACCGGCAACACGTATAATAGAACAGCATTACAATACTAAGCTGTACTGCAGCGAAATAGGGGATCTGACCTTATTTACAGAGTTTCAAATACTGCTCTGTAAGACATAGAGAAAAGCCTCAACATGCTGCTCTCTGAGCTGCATTGTTGATAAGAAAACACTGCCAGCCTGACAATGAAGGGCAAAAGATAGGAACAAGGTTAAGCAGTGTAGCTGAGTCTAATAAACAAAGAAACTGCTGACACACATACAGTGACTCAGTATGAGAAAAAATGACTTTCTACTGATAAATCAAAACAACAAGAGTGCTAATCTGAAATAAATATATACAGTATTTACGGTTTTTCCTCTGTACGATTAGCCTATTGTTCACTTCAGATTGATTTAAGCAAATTGTAAATGCTTTTGGTGCATGTGTGCAAACAGTAAGTACAATTGTCTGCAGTTTGAACAAAAACTAATTGCGTATAGGCTAGCTTGTTTATTAAAGCTGATGAGTCAATTCTCATTTAAACTGTCAAACTCTTCACAACTTCTCAATCATTTTTCATTGTGTAAGCCATCTCACTCAAAACTGTTTATTCAATTATTAAACATTTGCATATGCTCATGTTTACACCACAAATATTTGATATTGACATAGTTTGTAATGTCTGCTAAATTGGTAAATGACCTCTATTTGCAATACAATTATTGCAACTATTGCAATTTCAGTTATTGCGTTATCTATTTAGCAACAAAATTTGGTAGCATATGTATTTATATCATATATCATATATACAGGCCCGTAGCCAACCTGGTTAAAGGGGTGGATCTTTTTTCTCAAAATATGGACTTTTTTTCAGTTATTCACCTCATTTTCTATTTCATTCTCCATTTTTGATGTACCAAAAAAAATCCTAAAGATTTATAATAAACAAATATAAAAAAGAGCTTCATCAAAAAGAGCTAGCCTCTCTTGAAAATTCATCTAATAACATCAGCCTAATCAGTATGAACAGCAAAAGTCAGTCTAAGGCACTTAAAAATGTGGAAAAAATAATAAAAAACCTTTACAGACATGACTGTTTCTTAAAACTGCGCCTACACATTTTGATAACACTTCACTTCATCAGGGTAACCTGATTAGCGGTAGTTTTAAGGAACAGCCATGTCAATAAAGGCTTTTTATTTTTTTTTCCACATTTTTGAGTGCCTCAGACTGATTTGGATGTTTATTCTGATAAATCCCTTACACAAAGGGCACTGACACATTATTTAAGCTACCCCTGAAAACTTTGTTTGATTTTTGATTTTTATACACGGCCTAATTAGTATGAAAATAACTTTAATAGGCTGCTTTTGGTGCTTCAAACCTTTTCATTATTCAATTTCTTCTCTCAAGAAAAAGGTTCAAGATTTAGAATAAAAGTTAGGCAAAATGTTGTTTTTGTTTTTTTTAACAACAGTCTGTGAATAGGTAAAATTCACTTCTCTGATGTCATATTGTGTTTTCTTAAAACCTTTGATGCATTATTTTCACAATTTATGATGACATAGCAGTCAAAATAGGTCAAATTAGAATATAGTGGCAAAAATTTTGAACCAATGGCAAATTCTGGACTTTGTCAGTGGGGGTCAAGCCAATATATAAATTGCCCACATCACAATCACTACCTTGACAATCCTAAACTGAGGTAAAATGGTCTTGAAAGAGCAATTGGAAGATTTGTAACCTCTTCTGGATGCTATTTTGTAGGGTTTGTTTTGTGTGTGTGTGTGTGTGTGTGTGTGTGTGTGTGTGTGTGTGTGTGTGTGTGTGTGTGTGTGTGTGTGTGTGTGTGTATTTGTGGAAAACACATAGGAAATATGAAATATACAGTAATTGGACAAGCAAGATTGCACTTTGCATGTAATACACGTGTACAAAAATAAATACTGTATAAATACAAATGTTCATGTATTTTTTCCTTTGTATTATTGACACTTCTCAACAAATATCAGTTTTTCTTAACCTTAATTTCCATGGTTGATTGTCATAGTGAAAAAACAACTAATCATTCTGAGCAGTGTGGCTCACACAATCACAAATACACTTTAAAAACAAGCTTATGTTTAAATAATGTACATGCACTGTAGAAAATGATATGACAAAAAATACATGACCATAAATGTTTTTATGTTACTTTAACATATTTTAATAAGTTAAAAAGGCTTTGGTTACATTTTTAAGTTAATATTTTAGTCAGTTTGATTGATATAAGTTGAGATGGCTTAAAAAGTAAATTTTATTTAACAAAAAAAAAAAAGAATTTTTTACAGCGCAATTTGGATGATTTAGTTATAAATTAATATAAGACTTTATTTGTTGCGTTACATATACTTGCTAGTAAAAACAGTAGATGATGCATAATCACACACTGTATCATTTGATATGTTGTTAATTATTCATTAATTTTCCTTTGGCTTTGTCCTTTTATTTATCAGGGGTTTCCACAGCGGAATGAACCGCCAACTTATCCAGTATACGTTTTACACAGTGGATGCCTTTCCAGCTGCAACCTAGTACTGGGAAACACTAATTCACTATCACATACACCACAGACAATTTAGTTTATTCAATTCGCCTATAATGCATGTCTTTCGGGAGATCATGCAAACTCCACACAGAAATGCCAACTGGCCCAGCCGGGATTCGACCAAATGACCTTCTTGCTGTGACAGTGCTAACCACTGAGCAACCATCCTGCCTGTTGTTAATAATCAAGGACAGCTCAATATAAAGTGTAACTATTTATAGTTTGTAGAAGCACATGTAGTTAAAGTTCTAGCTTCACCCATAAATTGCCCAATAAAATGACCTATCCCATCATATTTTCCATAGGTGGTCTTTGTACTGAAGCACGCTGGTTATTTTTGAATGAACAGAGAGGTTTATAAATATCTGACAGGTAATATCAACAATCAGAAGCACGTACATATCTTTATCTATATTCTCCTGAGGAAGATTTGTGAGTTGTGAATATTAGATTGTTTTGAAAATACATTAATTATTAAATTCATATGGTATTCAATGGCTACTGTAATGGACACACAATTATTTAAAAAAAGTTACATGAATAGACATTAATAGGCAAAATCAACACATTTTTGCAAAAAATTATTCTAGTTGTCAGGATTTGATTTTCTTATTCACTTGTTGTGTATCCTAAATTGTGTAATAGACTTGCTTTTATAGCCGTGTCCATCGGACATGTGTAAAATCAATATACTGATTCATAACAGAAAGTCATATGATTTTGATAGTTATTGATTTAAAACTTTATAATATATGCCTGAGATGTTTTTTAGACAGACACACTTCAAAACTTCAGATTTTAATGAAATATTATCATATTTCCAAAAGAATGTTACACATGGTCATATGTCAGCCATTTTTAAAGACCCTAAAAAAAGCCCCGGATGTGCTCTGTATTAAGAACCCGAAGACTTAAAACTGGCATGTAATGTCTCTAAAAAATTATATTTTTATATATATATAAATATATATTAATTACATAATATAAAAAGTCTATTCCTGTTTGATTATGCGCCATGTTAAATCACTCATTCAATCGCTCTTATTGTGGTTTTTTTTTTTTTTTTTTGGGGAGTAAAAGGAGGCCAATAAACTTAACTTAAACCTAAAGCTTAATTCTTGCCTGTATTTTTATATACATCAAAACCACAAAATAGAACCTTGAATACATTTCTGTTGGCCCCTTTTGTTGAGTATAATTGTAATTTAGCCTATATTTCATCCACAACATAACCATGGAGCAAACTTTCATTTCATTTCCTTCCCTCACTCCTTCTAGCTAAAATAAATCAATCCACCTCTTCAGTTGAAATGATTCATTTTAAAACAAAACTACTCAAAGCTTCATACTGTTTGTCTGAGATGTTGATTTGTGACTGACACTTAAAAACCTTGTCAGATTTAAATAATAATTATAAAACATTATCATATTTCCATAAGAATGTTACACACGGTCATACAATTTATGTCAGCCGTTTTTAAAGACCAAGGAGAGGAAGTGTTCATAGCAAAGCTTCTTTGGTTATTGAAAAAGCCCTGAATGTGCTCTGTATACAGGACCTGAAGACTTAAAACTGGCATTTAAGGCAATAAAGAAATATGCTTTAAAAAGTCTATTTTCATATAAAAATTTGAAAAATATTAATAAATTATATAGCAATATACAATCTATTCCTTTGGTCTGAAGAGGATCTATATTATTCAAACAGAATCTTTTAACTTAGAAGCGTTTAACTTAATTTCGAGTGTAAAAACAGTTTAACGTTACAGAGAATCTCACTTAATTTCGAAAAATCATTAAAATGACACAGACCATAATAGCTTTCTACTTACCATGCATATGCGAGGAGTTCGTTTGAGCCTGCATCAGGTGTCCTTTAATAGGACTGTGAACTCTCCCTCATGAAAGACAGTCCTTCAGATATGAATCATGGCTGTCCAAAGGGCACTGTTGTTTGATGTCTCTTTTTTCCTGTTTGCTGTTCACACGTCTGTACCTGAACTTCATGCAGCCACACCTTCACCAGTATGTTTACATTCTCACCTTCACCTGTTAAACTGTCAACACGGACCCTCAGATCAGTATAGTCAGCGCTGTCACGCTCTCTACATTCACTTTCAGGATATTTTGAAAGAAGGGTGAGCAGGTTTTAAACCTGTCAGACTGATTTCAGATTCTGCCGTACACTTTTCTTATGATAATCACTAGGAGAAAGTTTTCAAAAACTTTTAGCTAATAAAAGACACCTTTTCAAAACTCTTTGTGAGCACTAGATCATTTATTATTGCTTTTGCACAAAATGCAGTTACATCTTCAGGATGATCTGTATACTGTTACGTCACATTTTTGTTTTGTATTTCCTTTTTTCCTTTGCTTTACTCTGGAAGATAATGAGGATCACCTGTTGCCAATGATGAACTGCTCACTGATCGGAGGATGAGAAGAGCAGTGGACATTTAGGCAGCATGTCTCCATCAAAGAGCATATAGAATCACCAAGAGGCGACACTCTAGTGTGATTTGGGAAACAGCTAGATGGTGCGGAGGCCATTTTGGAATGAGAACTCCAATAGAACAACAGCATATTATAAGTCTGTAAAATAAACTATTAAAAGTGCTGACGATTGTTATAGTAAGTGTTGAATTGTCATCTTTCAGGTTGTATCTCAGCTTTAATGTGCTTTTTAAATAATAATGAAATAAAAAAACAAAGCAGCTGCTTGCCATAACAACAGCAATCAGAATGGACAGCCGATTGCTTTCAGTCCAAAATGGCAGAATCCGGAGCTGTTGCTGAGTGCTGCTGTTGCAATGGAACGTTCCATTGAGTGTTGCCTCTTGGTGATTCTAAGCTCTTTGTATGCATTCTTACACAAGGCAAGACACTCGTATACTTTTGAATAGGGAAAAGTGTAACTGTCAATTTGGCAAATGAAGCCCCACCTTCTAGTACAGGAGCCAATCAGTGATCGCTATATGTTAAAACTAAGCCAAACCTTCTAGTACAAAAGCCAATCAGCAATCGCTTTAGAATGACAGGACGTGTGAAAGTTCCAGGAGGACGTTTGAAAGTTCCAGGATGTTTTCCCTGCTGATAAATCCAGCTTAAACCAGCCTAGGCTAGTTGGCTAGTTTTAGCTGGTTGACCAGCCTGGTTTTAGAGGTGTTTTGGCCATTTCCAGGCTGGTTTTCTGCTATTTCCAGCCTGGTCTTAGCTGGTCAGGCTGGAAATGACCAGCTAAATCCAGCTAAAACCAGCTTGACCAGCCTGGTTTAAGCTGGACATAACTGGTTTTGGTTGGGCTCCCAGCCAGGCTAGGCTTGTCAAGCTGGTTTTAGCTGGTCATCTCCCAGCCTGACCAGCTAAGACCAGGCTGGAAATGGTTGGAAACCAGCCTGGAAATGGCCAAAACCCCTATAAAACCAGGCTGGTCAACCAGCTAAAACCAGCCAACCAGCCTAGGCTGGTTTAAGCTGTTTTTTTTCAGTAGGGTTCCTGATATCGAGGATGCATGGATGCAGACTTGAGTGCAAAACTCGCTCAAGAAGTCCCAGAAGTCATTGCGGCTGAATAAAGGAGGTGGGAAGCACAGCATTTAATATAGATTTATTATTAAAGTTTAGATATATAACTTATGTATCTCAGTTGTTTCCCTAAATGAGAAGATGAAAGTATACATTACCATGAAAACCTTTATAAAGGCATAAACAATAAATCGTTGCATGAATGCTGTAATGTTTAAATCATTTTCCTCATTTCTCACAAGAGTGTTCTCTGTTTCGAGGTCTCCCGAGTTCGTTCTTCTAAGGTAACTTGGCAAGAACGGTCTCCACAAGAATGCATTCTTTGCGTTCTTGGAATTGAGGAATTGAGTGGAGGCTCTCTTGTGAGGCTTTAACTTTTTGAGTCTTTAAAGCATTATGTTGATTAGGAGCTTTAATTTGTTTAAGGTCTGTTAATGCGGTTGTGAATCTTATGTAGTTTTTGCCTCAGAAACTCTTTTTGGTTGTGAGTTTACTTTTAATTCTTTAATTAAAAGTAATTGAATCACTCTCTCAATTACTAAATAAATCTTTTGTTCTTTATTCAATTTGCATTTTTCCTTCGTTCAGTCCTCTGGGAGGCTGCTCATGGGACCTCATTGCTAAACCACAAACTCTAACTAACAAACTAACATTCTGTAGCCTACATGTGGTCTAAACAGAATTAAAGGGAACGTAGCAATACACTTTTCAAAACAAAATTAAAGGCACACTATGTTATTTTCGCCACTAGAGAGCATGAATTCACAACAAACAAAGACGGCATCAAGTTGAAAACTTAATGTTATTGTAGAATTAGTCTGAAAGCCATCAAAGGTAAAGGAGACTTCAGAAACTGCTGATGAGGAGTGCGATGGAACACCAAAAAGAAAATAGTTTACATGCAGCATTAGCTTAATATTTTCTGTTGTAAATATGACTTGATTTATTTAAATATGTAATCACAATTTGTTTAGTAAACCATAGTTAATAGAAAGAAAAAGCAAAAGTCATACTGTAGATTAGAGAGCAGTGAATGGGAGAGTTACACAAATATTTTTGGGGATTTTATTCATTCAATATATTTTTGGCTTAGTCCCTTTTTTAATCAGGGTTCACCACAGTGAAATAAACCACCAACTTATCCAGCACGTTTTACGCAGAGGATGCCCTTCCAGCCGCGGATTTTCAATTTGATCAAATAACAAATGAAAACTCCACAATAGTGTGATCACAACTTTTAGCGCAAAGGAAAAGTGTGTGAGATTGATAAAGGCAGCCAGAAAAAAAGTGCAATGTCAAATTTACTGTACCATCCGTAGATGCTGCGCTGCTGTGTGGAAGTTTATAACACTGAAATATCTGCATACGTGTGATCTGTAAAGGTCATGATAATGTTTTATAACAGCAAACATCGATTAGATTAAAGACATAAAATAATCTTGTGGAGATACAAAGATTCTGACATGATAATCTTGGCATCCCTGAAAGAAGCAGTGCAGCTTTCTCTCAAACCTCTTCTGGTTTTGGGTTGTTTGTGTGTCTGATGCCAAATTGAGTGTCACAGCTGCGGTTTTCTAATAAATCTTGACACAGAAGGGGAAAACCAGAGCAGCTGCCTTCCTTTAGTGAATATCCATCAACGTGTTCATCTCAAATCTGCAGTTGTTTGTGTCAGTAATTAAATTGGTAATTTCTATAGGAAAAAAATCAATAACCGATCAGGTCAAACAGAAATTTTTATTTGTGTTGTAATTTAAAGTATGGATATTAAAGTTTAAGCAACAACAATAAATAAATAAAAATGAAAATTTATAAATAAATGAGTAAAAAAATCAATAAATTCCTGTATAAATAAATAAACATGCAAATATATAAATAAATGAGTAAAAAAATCTATAAATTCCTGGATAAATAAAATAATTATGCAAGTAAAAAATAAATGTATCAAAAATCCACAAATTTCTGCATAAATAAATATATAAAGCAACTTAATTGGTATTATTTTTTTCTTTATTTAAAAATAATAAAAATGTATTTTAAATGTGGGTCAAGATAGGTCAAACTTACTTTTCACACATCAGTTATTGACATCTGGGCCAAATGCTGCATTTGACATCTGGTCCAAGTGTTCCGTGTCGCACTAAAGACACCTCTGCCAAACCAGGGCCATGTTTGACCCACATGCTGTATGCCATACGAATGCTTGCTTAGCCAGATTTATGCCAAATCTGGGTCAGAAGTCTTTGCTACCTGGAAAGTATCTTTTCATTTGGCGATGACTATTGTAAGTTCACAAGTGCACATGGAGTGGGCCATTTAGGACTGGGTCATACAGTAGGCTAAAGGGTATAGACTATACAATAAATTTTTCTTTTTGTGGTACAGAGTTAGTGCAGCAAATATCAATGGCCATGCAAACAAAGAAATTGAACTATATTATACTCTTCTTCAACAACTGTAAGTTTAAAATTACAAGAATATAGTTAGCATAACTGTTTTCTACCGATGAAAAGATGTCTGCTCTGCTGCTGTGTTTACTGCAGTCAGTGGATGACGGAGGAACACGGTGATTGGGCTCAGCTGGGTGCTGTGGCTTGTGTAATGTGGACAGATGAGAGTGGATGAACTGCGGGCATGTGGTCTGTTGTACCAATGTCCTGTAGTGACTGCCCATATGTTTCACTCGGCACAGCTTCTGCTAAACATGCCCTCCATTTGTTAATGCAAACCCACACAGTACTCACAATCTTTTGTCGCATGAATCAACAGGCTGATTTAACCAGGTTGAGAGCTAAAAAATAAAGAAGCTAGCTGAATGTCTTTGGTATTCATTCATCGTTTATAAAGAAGTTAACCGGTAACTGGATCGCTAGGCTTTATACACAAGTTAATTAAGATACTAGATTACCATGAATGACAATTTGTTAGATTGTAGATTTGGTAACTGTCATGAAATTATACAGGAACAATTACCTAACTGATTTCCCAGCATTCATTTATATAATGAAGATTTGCTGCATTTGCTCACTAAGGCCATTGAAACAAGCTGTACTGCAGTTTTGTCTCCTTCTAGTGGCAATGTAGAGGACTTCTGCTTTGTGAACCTTACTTGTCTGGTTTATAAGGTCACAATAAAAACAATCAAAGAAAGTAGAGCGTGATGGCAAAAATAAAAAATAAAGAAAGTGGAGTATGATATTAGCATATTAACAAATAAATAAAGTTTAGACTTAAAGTGGAGTACTGAAATAATACATAATCTTCAAAACCCATCAATATATACTATCGTACGGCCCCAATTGCTATTTTTGAGAGTGTTATTTATGCAATGTGTCATTCACCATATTATTTTTGTGTATTTATATATTATAAATCTACAGTACAGACAAGACACTTCAAATTCTAAAAAGCATTCTTCTCAATATTTGAAGCAAAGCTTAAGTGCTGATTGATATCCTCAAAATCACTTATCTAAATTGGTGGAAGTGAAAGTAAAAGTTTTTAAGTGTCATTTAGATTATCTATTTGATTGAGTATCTTTTGAGTAACTGTTTTCTAAACGTAGTTTTGTCAGTAGTCTGAAACATGTAGCTGGGGTTTACAAACTCGGTCCTGGAAGGCCGGTGTCCTGCAAAGTATAATTCCAATCCCACTTAGACACACCTGGTCTAGCTAATCAAGCTCTTAAGTTGCGGTCACACTGGCTGCATCCGAAACTGCATTTTAATTTAAACGTGCTACTCGGCCGTTAGAAAAGTACGTACTATACAGTATGAATGTGAGCAGTATGAATGGAATTCAGATGTATTACATCTGCCATTTTGTCATGGTCACATGACCTTTCTGCGTCAGTTGTGTCGCTTCACTCCCATTCTCTCGCGGGGCATCATGGGATGGCGCAGCATTCATGGGATGCGCACTTCAGAATCCCGCCGGAAGTAGTAAGTCATCCGAGTACTTCTCACATACTGATTTTCGAATTCTATGAATTTGGACATAGTACTCGGCTGGCATCCTGATTTTAGCGTACTGTGTAGTATGGAGGTATGCGGTTTCAGACGCAGCCACTGAACTTTTCTCTCAATAGACTTCCATTCATACACATGCGAATGCGACAGACCGGAAAGTGCATCAAGTTTCGCAGTTCATTGCATTGCAAAGTTCAAACTTGGTGAACTCTGACCTGCGAAATCGCATCACTTGACTGCGTGAGACCAATCGAGGATAAAAACATGACCTCTCTGGACAGAAGTGTAAAACATGGCCCAATCGGACACTTTTTAAAATGTCTAATCGTCTTGTTTAATCTTGCCCCTTTTCGCAGCGCTGTACGACAGAATTTCGCAAGCTGACACTCTAGTGTGACCGCAGCAGTACTAGACTTTCTAGAAACATGCTTGCAGGTGACACCGGTGATGACACCGGTCCTCCAGGGCCGAGTGTGAGAACCCCTGATATAGCTTATAGCCAACATTAATGCTATACAGCGTTTATTATTATGTTTATTATCAAAAGCCAAAACATCAATTTTCATTTAATTAGAACTTCAATGTACTATTACACTTAATGCACAGAACAGTAAAATACAAGAATCAGATTGGGACATAGTATAAGACAGAATTATTAGTCATATAATTCTCAAGTGATTCTTAAAAGAGAAAACTTTTCACAGTGTTTCCTTTTTTTTCTTCTGGAGAAAGTCTCATTTCTTTTAGTTTGGCTTGAAGCAAAGCCATTTTTTACAACTACTTTTAAGGTTAACATTGTTTATAAGTAGGCCCACACTGAATCTGCGCACGCAGAATTCCGCAGATTTTTAACCCATCATTGATTTTGTTTATTTACTTGTGTAAATGTGTGTAAATTCATTTTCATTCAGTTTTTAAATTAATTTCAGTAATATCATTGACCAATATGAAAATATTCATATGATTTATTTACAATACAGTTTCTAAAGTCATATTTTCTGTCTTTGAGTAGATCTATTATATGAGACTTCCTTTGTTTACCAAATAAAGTGGATCTACTTGGATTTGCATTGTAAACATTAAATAGGTAAAAAGGTATTACTTTTATATTAAGGTTTTGGTTATGGTGCTCCCAAAATCATTCTGCATAAATCCACAGGTTTTTACCAAAATTCTGTGCAGAAATAGCAAAAAAATATCCGCAGATTCCATCTGGCCCTAGTTATAAGGCTAATTTTATTATTGCTCCTGAACAAACCACTGTTGTCCATTCACTTGACTAAATTAACCTTACTTGTCTAGTTAAGACTTAAAATTGCACTTTAAGTGGAAGACTAATATCTTGCAAAATAACTAAAAAACATACTGTCATCATGGCAAAGACAAAATAAATGTTGGTTTTTAAAATTTGTTTCAAAATGTCTCTCCATCAAACCACACTTGGGAATCAAACTCTTACAAAGAGCTAAAATTTCACATGAGGGCTAATAGTTGTGACTTTTCAACTGGATGGATGGATGGATGGATGGATGGACAGATGGATAGATGGATGGTTGTATGCTATTTCAACACAGACACACACAAGGCATTCTCTGCTGTATTCCACTTTATTGCCAGAAACGAGCTGTTCTGGTAAACCGTACACTGTACACACAAAAATAGTCTATTTATTTCAAAATGTAATCAACACCCATTAGCGCAGCAGCTATGAAGGACGGATGGCAATTGTGCTGTTTGTCAAGCTGTGAAAAGCCTGGTGGTCTTGGGTGCTGCGTGAAACCTTCTAATCACCTCACACATTCGGCTTGTTAAATCTGAAGAGTCTGTCGTTGGCCTCAGGCCATTTGTCTCTAGGAAAATATCCAGGCCACGCACTCATAAACACGCTTTAAAACATTACTCCCCCTGACACAGTAGACACTAAATTGCTCGATCGTCTAAAGCCTGACCTTGGCAGATACTGAGCAAATAAGTAGTTTAAACATTAAAACAAAAATGCAAATACGACAACAGCATTTAGACAACACTGCCAGAGGTATCAGTGATGATTGCTTTTTTTGTTTCTTTTAACTTAGGAAGCTCAAGAACTGTTCTTGATATGTTTCTGGCTATTGCTTTCATGATATGGAGATTCAGTTTTGTGCTCATTGCTAGCTAGAAATAAATGATCAACATGATCAAAGAATCTGCAGTTAAAAGCCCTACACCAGAAAACTAAAGTAGTAAGGCCAGCTATGATATGAAAATAGACATTACAATAGACAGACTCTCTTTTTTTCTTACCATTCAATATTAGAAATAAAGTTAAGTTGAGCAGGGTTAACATACACCGGTAAAGGATTTCACAAGACAAATATTGCACCACTCATTTTCAAGGCCCGTTCACACTAAATATGATAAATATATACTTCTAAACATTCGAATTCCCGGTTGACTATAACTATGACTATAACTACACGGATGAATTATATAGTTTAAATCATTAATGGAATTAATTTTTTGATAATCAACCTAAACTACTGTCAGCCAATCAAAGTCGTTCCTGTTTTAACGTGCAAGCATTTACATGTCCCGTGAAAGACTTTGAAGTGTGTATCTTTTATTTAATGTTTGATGTAATATCAACCGAAACACGAAGAGAGAGTGGGACATATATAGTGTAGCTCCTCCCTTTTTTTTAAAAAACAGCCAATAGTGTTTTGTTTTATTACCGCTTTGCAAGTGAGAGTGCTGTAGCTCAAGTGCATCGAATGTAAAGCAAATGAGAAGCATTTTAAAAGGGGTAAAAAAAAAACTGTAGTGTGGGTTGACGTGAATAAAACCATTGATCCATTTAGGCGGAAGTGACAAAGCACAAGCTTTACATGCTTATATCAGATTTATATCTTCTAAACATAAAAATTTGTCAGTGTTTTGGAGCACATTAGCTTGTGATATCTTATTGATATCTTAAAAACAAACAATACTGATACTAACATCTGAAAAACTTCATGGGACCTTTAAAGTGACAGACAACAAAACTGATCACCTTCCATAGTGCCTTCTTTAAATAGAATATAGATCTAGTGCATTCAAAATCACATGCTGTCTTGAGTAGATGCTATATTTGAATTTGAACTTGCTCCATGACCATTAAAAAAGTATGTTCTGTAAAATAGGAATATGGGTAGTAGGAATAAAACCAGACATACTACATCCACCATGTTGTTCTGGTCACAAGATGTTCCAGCAACTGTTGTGTCACTTCACTGTTATTCAAAGATCACAACTCATGGTATAATGGAATAGGAAATTTCCACAAAATGAACACTTTTTTTTAGGTCATGCGGGTATCATGTCAATATGCATAGGTAGATTTTTGTTTGGTATTCATAGACAAGCAGTCTATTTTCCCATGCATATTATTTCCATATGCATACAAGCCAATACTGTTAAGGCATTCTTCTAGCTGGCAGCCCACTGAAGCGAAGCAGGGATGTGCCTGGTCAGTACCTGGATGGGAGACCGCATGGGAAAACTAGGTTGCTGCCGGAAGTGGTGTTAGTGAGTCCAGCAGGGGGGCGCTCAACCTACTGTCTGTGTGGGTCCTAACGCCCCAGTATATTGATGGAGATTCTATACTGCTCAGTGAGTGCTGTCTTTTGGATGAGACGTTTAACCAAGGTCCTGACTCTCTGTGGTCATTAAAAATCCCAGGATGTAAAATAGGGGTTTAACCCCAGCATCCTCGCCTAATTTGCCCACATGGCCCCCTAACCATCCCCATACCATAATTGACTTCATCACTCTGTCTCACCAATCAGCTGATGTGTGGTGTGCAATATGGCTGCTGTCGCATCTTCCAGGTGGATGCTGCACACTGATGGTGTATGAGGAGATTCCCCCCAATGTGTAAAGCGCATTGAGTGACAAGAAAAGCGCTTTATAAATGTAAGGAATTATTATTATAATTATGCATATGTATATGTATGTATGTATAATATGTGTCAGCGCACGGTAAGGTGTTCATCTATTGTGTGCTTGCGTCTATTTGGGTTGTGCAAGCACGTGGCTCTGTGTTTACACTGTGGCCGCCTGCTTCAGTCTTGTCCTGTTATTGTGAACGTGTAGTTAATGAGTTCTCTCATTGGCTGCCTGTTCTAATCTTGTCTAATGTGAGCGCATGGCTTATGTTGTCTTCCTGTGTCATGTGCTCTCCCGTCTATTGTCTAGTTCCAGCCTCTTTGTTAACCCATTATTAGTTAATTATGTTCATCTGTTTGTGTGTTAATTTACTACAGTTTATAATCCCCTCATATCTGCTGTCCTGTACCAGTTCCTCATCGTTCGTCACTGTATATAGCCTAGTCTTGATGTTGCCTTGTTCCAGCCCTGATCCCCACCGGCCTTCCATCCTAGTTTGCTTTGATTGTTTATTTGTTGTATTAGCGTTTTCCTCCTCGTGGTTGTTTATTTTGCCTTTTATTTTTATTTTATTTAATTAAGACAAAATATTCATTCACTCTGCAATTGGATCCTCGCTCCGTTTTTCCCTGACCGTGACAGACGCCTATTAGACATCTATTAGACCTCTTTTAAAAACGAGAAATGCTTGCTGGGTAAATAGTTATCTCCATAGTTATCATATTAGTGTGAATGGGGCTTAAACAGAAAGTTCATCAATAAAAATTATTGAATTAACTCACTCAGGCCATCCACAATGTAGGTTACTTTTTTTTTCAGTAGAACATGAAATATATTTAGCTGAACAATGCTAACCGATGACAAGCAGCACTTTGAAAGCATGAAAACATATTCAGATGAAACAAAATGAATACTTCTGTTGTAAATAATAGTTTTGGTTTTCTTGTACAAGCTGATGGTTTCATTTCACAAGAGCTCAAAATATCATTATGAGAAGCAAATATATTTGTTTTGCCTCTAGTCATAGTTACCACTGTATTGTATGAAACACCAAGGACCATGATTTCAGCTAAAAGTCTTCACTGTTGTACTGAGGAAAATGCTCCTGGATGGTCTCAGGGTGAGTAAATTAACACCAGGTTTTACTTTAAGGGGTAAATTATGCCTTTAAGAGCAGTGCAGTACATTAGTATGCAACATAAAAATGAAATATTTGTTAGTAATTTCCATTGACAAACAGCAAGCTCATACACAGACACTGCAGCTCGGCTAAATCTAGTGCTCTAACAATGGAAGTCTATGGAGAACACCACACGTTTGTATGCGGTTATTTACTAAGTTATTTGCCACGGAACACTCCTCATGAATTTATACAGCTGTTTCTGTTTGGGATGCCAGCAGGTTCATTACTGATATCTGATGGATGGTCTGTCTCCCGTGTCGTCCTGTTCCTGGGACAGCTGACAACAAATATTCATGGACAAGCTGACTTCTTCCTATGTTAGATGATGAAATCGCACCCTCTTTCTCCAGAGTTGGTGGAGTAAATTTATATTGCTTTGGTCTGACTATATGCCAAGCTAGAAGGGGTAACTGTGCGAGTGTTTTACTATCCTTTTGGGAATTAATTGTCAGAAAATACCCCCACAAGGATGTCTGTATGTGTGTCTGGATTATTACTATGCAAGACGTGTCAGTCTAGGCGGTCTCCGAAAGAACAGCCATCACCGTGTCGGCCTGCTTTGCCAGCTTTGTGCTGGTGTGATTGGACAGTTTGGACAGGGTGTCCCTCAGGTTTAGAGATGTTATCTGCTCCCTTAGTATGGCTGTAGGAGAGAACAGAAATGTAATTAGGAGGTTATAAATTAGTTTTGGGTTTTTTTAATATTCACAGAACTTTGTAATTAGTTAAACATCTAATAGAGATATCTGAAAGTGCGTTTAGCTGTTTGATCATTTTGCAGTACTGACTGGAGTTGACAAGACTGCAGATCAGGCCTAAAGCACTGAATTTGACCTCCACAGCCACGTCAGGGTCATCTAGCATCTTTTGCAAGGTGGGAAGAAGGTCTGCATCTCGAAATGGTTCTTGAACTGCCTCTGCACAGAACAGAAAATGGAAGGAGAGATATCGCTTTTATACAATATTTGGTAGTGCTCAAAGCAGAAATATCAAGCTTGTTAACAAATCTATCAATAAAATTGTAGAATGTAATCTGTAAACTGTAAATATAATGTCGGGCTTTTCATGTTCAGTGCTATATGTGAACCTGGACACGCAAAACCTGCCATAACAGTCAATTTTTAGAAACTGAGACTTACAATGTCGATACAACTATTTGAAAATCTGAAATCTGAGGGAAAAAAAGATCTAAGTATTGCATATTTTAAATCGAACAATGAGTTTAGATATATTTGTACATTGGAAATGTACAAAATATCTTAGTGGGTCATGATCTTCAAAGAGCCCCTATTATGGGTTTTTAAGAATGACCTTCCATATAGTGTGTAACAGCTCTAAGTGAAGTGAAATATCCAGCTAAGGCTTAAATCTGAAAGTACACAATGTTTAAAACTTGATTTATTTATAAAAGAGTTGACTCATAGTGCTTCAAATAAATCTTCTTGATAATGAGTCTTTAGCCGTTTCGGAGTGAAGTGGATACGAAACTTAAGCCCCGCCCAGTTGTTACACGCACAAACCCGGGAAAATTTAAACCTGCTGCCCCGCCCACAAACAGTAGCAAAGAAAAAAGAAGGAAGACAAGCACTGTAGCAAACGCTGTTTGAATTAAGTCATGAAGACGCTGTAGGATACTCCGCTGGATATTATTGAAAGTGTGAGGGAAAGTTAGTGTTATTTTCTCTACCCAAATATGAAACTGTGAAGAGTCAGTCGTTGAGTTTTTTTTTTTGCTAAAATACCTCAGCATTATAGCCCAGCCTTGTGCTTTTCGAGTGCTTCTGGAATCTACACTGTTACAATGGGGCATTCGTCGGCTGTTTGGTAAAGGAAGGATCAGAAAAGACTTGATGTAAGGGACTATGTCAGTATATGGATCAGTGGAACATGGATTAGTTTCTTCCTCCATTTCACAAGTGTAAGTAAGTGCAATTAAAATGGTTGCCTCCTTATTTTCTCTAGCTTGCAAATTCTGTATTTAATTGTGTTTTGTTACTTGTAACCGCTTGTACTGTATTAGGTTAACTCTTTATATTCTCATATCGCGTCTAATGCCACGTTGAAAACGCGACGCGTGCCGCTTTGTTTACAGATTTAAATGCGTTTGTGAGCTCGCACTGCCATTTGTCGTTGCTATGCAGCAGTCAAGGTAGAATAGTTCAGCCTTTGCCGCTGTGTGGATTAATACTGAATGTGTGTCATGGTTAAGAATAGAGCAATATGCTGGTGTTTGACTGCACAAACATACCTGCCAACATCTGTCCCTGAAAATCCAGGAGACCAGGGGGTTAGGTTCGGGGTGGGGTGTCTGACTAACACAGGGCCGGAGCAAGCTGAACTGGCGCTCTAGGCGAACGGCGATCACACCACCCTCAACCCGAAAGTGAAAAAGAAAGTGACCGGTTCGCAGATGAAAGTGAAGACCGGGAGGGAGGGGAAGGTGTCGCGGATGAAAGTGAAGGCCTGGCCTTGGTCGCCTTTATGGATGCGCCGGCCCTGATAACACTGTTGAGAACCGGGTACTGTGTACTATGGTGATAGTAACTACTATGAAGCGTGTCTCCCGGAAAAAACAGGAGTGTTCGCAGGTATGCCCACACATACACTATGCACTGTGACTACTTCAATATTGTTGATAAGCTGTGCTGGGCATTTCTCTCTGTGTCATGCTGAACGCTGTCGACCAATCACAATAAACTGTCATCGATCCAATCAGGGCAGGTTTGGGAACAAATGAATCGCTGAACGAATCATATGGGAGTCGCTGGGATAATTAGGTAAAAATAAATGCAAATTATAAGACAATGAAAGTGTTTTTTAAACTTGCACACATATCAGCCTGTTGTTGGAGACCTTTACAACCAAAATATGAACCTTTTTAAAGTATAATAGGGGCTCTTTAAATGATATTCTAATAATTTTTGGTAATTCACTTTGACAATTTACTTTGACAATTCAAAAATCGTTGTCACTAACGACACTGGTGGCCATGCTGCCAACAACTTTTTGTTCATGCTGCCACTAACGCTCATGTTACAAGAAACTGAACTTGATTCATCTGTGTAATATACTCATGGTAATGTTCTGTTCAGTTTTATAAGTAAAACAAAGTTACTACCGATATACTAATAACATACATTTCTAGTTCTAGTTAGTACTTCAAACACCGCAGTTGCTTTGTCACAGATCCATCATTTGAACCATGTAAGTTAATGTAAAACATCCATAATGGCGCTCAAAACGGGTTGGAGTAACAACTTCTTTAGAAAAAAAAAAACATATTTTTTTCTGCAATATTTTATATAGTTTTACAAGCACACACATTTAAACAAAAAAATCTTACATTAGTATTAGTAAAAACATGCACTCGTTTACTATAATAATTGAATTGTATGTAAACGACACAAATAGGGCCAATGATTCCTTTACAAATATTATTTGAAAATATTCCATATTCTATTATAAAACATAAAACCACTTAGCTAACTTATAATCTCATATGTAAATCATATAAATTATTAATGGTTGTATTTTACAGAATACAGCTGTTTATTAAGAAATGAAAAAAAAATCCTACATAACATTAATAATAATAATAATAAAGATTAAAATTATTATTAATGAGTACAATTTGGCATTCAAACCACTTTAGAAATGTTCTAACCAACTGGCTCATGTCATATAGGCCTACAGTATAGATACATTTCTTAATATATAACCTAAAATGAAAACCATTAATGTATACTATATATTTTAGTTTTCACAAGCTTTGGAGACGTACAGTAAATTCTGCTTTTAAATAATAGGTCACCTACTGTATAGCTTTCGTCATGAGCTACAGCTGCTAAACCTGAACTGTAAAAATGCTTTGAAAGCAAATTACACCAAAGACAGATGATTTTAATGTTTTTTTTTTTTTTTTATCATTCCAAGTTTAAATGTTGGAACGTTTGAAAGGAATAGGGCATAGGGGGGATAACTGGAAATAGAACACAACCAGGAACTATTCTTCTAACTACAGCTCGATAGGTGTAGTTGGAAGCGTACAAGTTTGCCACACAGTTTGTGAATGTTCGTTGCAATGATGGCGTTGGGAAGCACCAAATTATTTGTAACGAAGAAACTTGCGAATTTGGTTGGCTAACAATGGATTTCAGAAACGCACCTCAGTTAATTTCAATACAAATGACAATCTTGCAAAAAATTATTTATTGCACAGGCTATCAGACTCTACTGTCTGGTGTATATTTTTTATAAAGTTATTTTGTCATCCAAGGGTAGAGTACACCATTTGGAAGCCCAAGATATACATACCAATGTCTATTGCAGAGGCAATGGCCAAAGCAACTAACGCCTCATTCTGCATGATGACATGCTCACTGGTTGCCATTGAGATGAGATGTTGAACTCCATCTGCCTTGATGACAGTGTGGATAACTTCCTTTACAGAGAAAAGAGAGGATGTTTTTGATTAAACAAAACCAAAGACTACAGTTAAACATTATATGTGTGACTAAAACTCACAGGGTTTCGGCTGTGTCTTATTAGAGCTGCTAAAAGGCGGTTTGCCTCGCCTCTGACACCAGCGTGATCCTTAGCCTCGCACCACTCCATGACCCGTGCTAACAAAGCCTCATCCTTCCCTAAAACTGAAGCTGCTTCCTCTAGAAGAGAGAAAAAAGTAGATTTGTTACCAGGGGGTTAACACATGCTTTATGAAGCGGATCAATGTATTTTTGTAATAGCAATATATACAAATTGTTAATTATAAACTCAAATCACTGACTTCCAGCGGCTGGCGAATGCATGTTCTAGACTTCTTGGCTGATTTCTGACTTGGCATTTAAAGCATGAGATAAGATGCATTCATAGCGGAAGTTCTGGGAAAAGACTTATCTCAGAGGAACCACTTACCACACAGTTTGTTTAACACAGAAGACTACAACAAACAAGAAATCTAGTTGGCTTGGCATACTAGTTGGCATTATACAGTATTTTATTATTTAGCCCCAATCACACTCCCAGTGGCTGATGGTTTGGTTGCTAAAGGTTGCTCCTACTATCAGTTAGCCTAGTCCAGTGGTAGGGAACCTATGGCTCGCGAGCCACATGTGGCTCTTTGACCAAAAATACGTGGCTTTCCAGCTGTCAATAATATTTTAGAGTTTAAAACAATTATAACTGTCACTAGAAATCAGTTTCCTTTTAAAACCACAATTACTATTACCTTTTTATTGTTTTATTTTTTTACAGAAAAAATGATTAAAATGTTTACCGTAAAAAAAAGTTTCAACGAATGCACCAGTGCGGTGCTAATGTAATCTAATGTGTATTTATATATATATATATATATATATATATATATATATATATATATATATATATATATATATAGCACATTTACTGTGTATGGCCTTACAACCAAAGCACTTCACAAGCTTGAGGGGGGTCTCTCCACATCACCACTAGTGTGGAGCATCCACTTAGATGATGCGACGGCTGCCACAGGACAACGGCGCCAGTTCGCTCACCACACACCAGCTATTGATGGAGTGGAGAGACAGTGATAGAGCCAATTCAGTGGATGGGGATGATTGGCAGGCCATGATTATATAAGGGACGATTGAAGGACTTTGGCCAGGACACCGGGATTACACCCCTACTTTTTACAAGATTTTTCTCTTTATGGGATTTTTTTAATGACCGAGTCAGGACCTCGGTTAAACGTCTCATCTAAAAAACTGCACCCACTGACAGTATAGTGTCTGCTTCACTTTTACTGGGGCATTAGGAATCACACAGACCACAGGTTGAGCACCCCCTGCTGGCCTCTCTAACGCCACTTCCAACAGCAACCTAGTTTTCCCATGTGGTCTCCCATCCAGGTACTGACCAGGCTCAGCCCTGCTTAGCTTCAGTGAGTGACCGTTCTTGTCCTGCAGGGTGATATGGCTGTGGCCGCTGTGGTGCTGTGGATAAACTTCGTTTTCACCAATAAAGGGCAAAAAACTAGAATTTCCATGTTGACCACGCACGTACACGTAATTACCATAGAAACATAAGTTGTTTGTTCTTCATTTTCTATACAAGAGTAAAATAGGATTTTTGTTCTTTAAAACTAGTCACAATTAAAATGTTGCTGCATAGGCTACTTCATTTTGAATGATTTGAAGTAAGTGTGTTTTTTTTCTATAATAGTAAAATGTTTGGTTACTTTAAATTGGGCTGCTTTTCAGAAAAAAAGAAGAGTTTATTTACCAGATTTTAAATAAATCCTTTCTTCATGGACCTGCTTAACTATGATGCTTCAAATTTGTTTGTTTTTGAGTTGTGCATAGACATAAATAAAGGTTTTGTTAAACCTGTATTATACATAGTAGTAGTAGTAATACACACACACACACACCAAGTGGCTCTTTAAAAAATGCATCTGCCAAAAAACAATCAGAAATGGCCCTTTCTGCTGAAAAAAAGGTTCCCGACCCCTGGCCTAGTCAATTGGCATCTACCCTCTTATTTATAGATGTTTTTTTTCTTGCTGCTAAAAACAAACATCTAAGGGGAATTGGTACATAAAGTGTTTAATATCAACAATGAATTAGGAATCAATGCTTAAATAATGCTATTTATCTATATAGTATATAAAAAGCTGTCTGTCTAGATCGGGGTCACCAAACTTGTTCCTGGAGGTCCGGTGTCCTGCAAATTTTAGCTCCAACCCTAATCAAACACACCTGAAAAAGCTAATCAAGATCTTATTTGGTATAATTGAAACACCCAGGCAGGAGTGTAGAGGCAAGTTGGAGCTAAACCCTGCAGGCACACCAGCCCTCCAGGACCGAGATTGCTGACCCCTGGTCTAGATTCACAAAACTTTTCAGGCTTAAGGTCACCATTTGGCTAGTACAGGTGAACTGACTAAATGAAGTGCAATAGAATAGATCTTGATTGTCATTATAACAGGTATAACAACATTTAAAAGAGCTCTCCATCAGAACATCATTCATTCAGTCCACAGTAACCGTCACCCCTCCACAGTCAATGAATTCCATGCTCTCTGTTGACTTCACCCCTATTGGTAATCACTTTTGAAAGTCGCTTCTCATTTGCATAAAGTAGATTTCTTTACTTTTTTGTGCGTCTCCTGTTGCTTGACATGCCTCATCCAGTGGCCAACTCTCCATTGAAATGAATGGGATTGTGCTGCTTTGACACTGCCCGTGTGAATGGGGCTTTACACTTAGTCTTCCACTACAAATGCATCTTACATCATACATCAGAAGTTGGGAATTAGTGCATTCAGCCGCCAACGGAAGTCAATGATTTGAGTTAGAAATATTTTTGTTACAAGAACACATTGATCCACTTTTTAAGACATGCGTATACCAGCATATGGGTTAGTTTTACAAATAAATTCGTAGATTCAAGGACTTTTGGAAGCTTCAAAAAATTGCTTCTACTATTATAAAGCATAGAAGAATAACATAAAATGTAAAACAACTCTGACAGTATTCATATGCACCTAGGATGCCTTGAGGGTGAGTAAAATGTGATGTATTTTTCCTTTTTAGTTGAACTATTCATTTAAAATTTGTTTACCTCTTTGTTTACTTACTCAGATTACCTTTGTTAAGGCAAATTCTCCCTAAAGTGCAGACAGTAATTTAGTGTCAAAGCCCTTGCAGGTCTTTTGTGTGTATACTGAGGTGTCTAAGGACTCCTGCTAAAATAACACACTGCACTGAATGGTTGCAAATTACAGCCTCTATATACCCCACATTTGAACAACAGTTTAAAGCTGTGAGGAGAAACGTTAATTCATCAGCTATTATATTCATTTGGCAGGTAATGGTATAGTTTAGCAAAGCTTTTGTCTAAAAATTACAACCTGTCATTTGTTATGTCCTCCTCTTCAACCACCAGACTAATCTACTTTTTTGCTTCCACCATTACTGCTAAACTCTGTCCTGATATTTGATGTATTACATGCCCAATTTCGGCATCCTTGTAGAACATTGTGTTACAACTTGTACAGCTTGAGTTTAGACATATACCACCTTGGCTCCACATTGGCTCCAAATTGAAGAATTGCATTGTTCATCTTGCTTAACATCTGCCTTACATTTTTTGTGGCAAAGATTCAACAATGTGATCAAAACAATTCTCACACATTTTGCTCTATATTAACATGATTTCATTACCTAGTTGGTGCTGAACACCCATAATACACAGCTCCCGTTCACCAAAGTTACTCTATTAGATTCACATCAGGTGACTGTGGAGGTCATTAGAGTATAGTAAACTCCCTGTCATGTTCAATAAACCAGATTAAGATTATACTGTGGCAAGATGTGTTCTTCTGGCCATCACAAGATGGGTACACTGTGGTCATAAAGGGAAAGACATGTTCTGTGTTAAAGCCATTCGTAATTGCAGTAATTTTGAGAAGACATTACACTGTGTTCTACTCAGAGCTTTTCACATCCTCAGACTTTGAATTATGCGTTTCTGTGGCAACACTATCTATTCTAGACCTAAACATAGAGCCTAAAAGATTCTGTTTTTAAGTTAGGTGGTATATGTCTAAACTCAAGCTGTACAAGTTGTAACACCATGTTCTACAAGGATGCCGAAACACTTTACAAGTTGGAATCTCTATTAAAGTTACTGTTCCTTCTCTATGAACTAAAATCAGTTTGTTCTTCTCTGTAAGTAAATATATATATATATATATATATATATATATATATATATATATATATATATATATATATATATATATATATATATATATATATATAAATAATACACATTTCTATACACATTTCTTCCCAATTCACAACTTTGGCAGATCTTTTTGACCAAGGCTGTATCTGAAATTCAGAAATTTTATTCACTTTTCCCTACATTATTTCACTTAAAAGAGTGAAAGAAATCAAATAAGTGAATTGAAGAACTGAGTGCACTGGAAAGGATGTTTTTTGTTTGTGCTTTGCTATTTGACAAATCCCTCAACGGATTAGATTATTGACTTCCTGATCAGACCCTGCGATAGTTATTTAACACTAAGTGAGCTGTCTATTAGAAATTAAACAACATATTTTGATTCCTGTCATATCTATATCTATATCTGTATATATATATGTATATGTATATATATATATATATATATATATATATATATATATATATATATATATAGAGAGAGAGAGAGAGAGAGAGAGAGAGAGAGAGATAAATGTTAATTTAACAATTAAAAAATCATTTTATTAGAAAGTTACACTGACAAGACTCTACTGGCGATGCCATTTTGTGGTGAAAGATAGAAATTAATTCAGTGAGTCAACTTTACACTGTGCATTATTGATATTCTCTAGCAGTTGCATGTACATTCGTTATATGCTCATTATTGCGGTGCATTGTGGGATTGATCGAGTGCACCTCTGAACATCCGTCATGGTTTGTGACACCTTTAAAAATGGCTGCTCTCTCAAATAGTGCATTTAAGGGTATAGGTGTGATTTCATGAACAGTCCAAGTCTTCAAACTTAAATACTTCAAGCTGCTGCCATGTGACTGACTAACTACAAATTTGCCTTAAGTGATTGAACACATGTACCTACACTTTTGCTGTCTTTTGCTGCTTGTTCAAACTACTCACTTAAAATGAGTTGAAACAATACAATTCTTAAATTGGTTTTGGAACAACTTAATTGTTTGTTTTTTTGTTAAAACTATCACATCTGTAAAAACAATAAAGTTAACTTAATTTATTGATTTATTTTGGGACAGCATAAATAGCAACGTCATTAATAGTACAACGCCCTACCTATTAAAAAACCTCCCTTGGTTTGCTACACTGAAAAAAAATATTCAAAGATGACTCCTTGGATTTACTCAATTTTTTATGTTAAGTGGTTGTAAACAATTTATTTGGGCTGAATTTAAACAAGCAAACTAAGTTGAACATTATTAAACTTAATTTGTTTGTTTAAATTCAACACAAATAAATTGTTTGCAACAGTTCTGCATGCTACACTTTTTTTCAGTGTACTACTGACATAACTACTGCCACCATTAAATTTGAATATTTCAATTGTGAGGTGATGAGCTTCATGCAAGACTTGGCAACTTGACAACATGGACTAAAAGTGATTTTTGTAGCTAGATTAGGCCATACAAATTACAGATGTTTCCCAGGAGAAATAACAAAATGGAAGGGTTGCGGGAGATGGGTGTGAAATACAGGAGACATCATAAAATCCATTTATATGGTCATAAAACCCATTTCTCTGACCATTAGACCTATGATCTGTGACCATTACTGTTTTTGGATAGACTACAAAATAGGCTCTTTAACAGTGTCTCAATTACTCAAACAATGTGGTTTTCCTGAAATATTACCTTGTCCGTCCACCATCATCCGCAAAGTTCCCAGCAGTTTGAACTGGACAGGGGGCATATCAGAGCAGAGAAGTTTCCTAATTCTTTCTGTGACGCCATCCTCCAACATACGCACCTTATTGGAGGCTAAATCCAGAAACAGACAGTGATATGACAGCTCTAACCACAGACACGTCTAATCTAAAATATAAAGATGCTAAATATGGTCTTGACTGTACTGGCTGCTGCTGGTTTGATGTCACTTTAGCTGGTGAACCTGCATGTTATTTCTGGAGACGTGGGCTGACAAAGGAAGTTGGGCTAGTTAATAAGCCATGGAAACACCTGCACAGTAGCATCTGTGCTGAATGTCCTGAATTTGTACCAATTTGCACTCCATTCAGGGGTTCACCCAAATAAAATGTTTCTCCAAATAAGAATTTGCAGATTACAATATTGTTGTACTACCTTATAGTAACATTCAAAGAACAATTTTGAGTGAGACTGTTCAGCAAGAATGCATTAAAATTGATCAAAAGTGCTTCCAGTGTAGACATTTATAATGCACTTAAATGTATATTTCAAATAAATGCTGTTTTTTTTTTGCAATTTTTATTCATCAAATAATCCCAAAAATGTACCAAAATTTAATAATAATCATATGATAAAATGTTAACCCTAACAATTTGTTTACGTTGATAATAAAAAATGCTTATTAGCACCTAATTAGCATTTTAAAATGACTACTCTAAAAATATCATCTGGCACAAAATAAAATAAGCTTTGCAATCAAAGAAATAAATAATGTTTCAAACATTTATAAAACAGAATATATATATATATTTTAAATTACAATATCTCTTCAAATAAAACATAATAGTCCACACCCTAACTGCATTTCAAAAAGCAGTAGTACCTGGTATGGCGAGATTTCGAAGTGCACTGAGGCCAGCATGCTGCACAGAAACATCTCCCTCTGCTACGTGCTGCTCCAGCAGGTCCAGAATACGAGGAACAACTCCTAATTCCAGCATCTTCACACAGTTGCTGTCTATGGAATAAAAATGTTTTTAATTAAATAAAGTTTGAGTGAGAAAGAATCCAAATCTTTATCACTAACTGCAAGAAAGCTGCTGTACTGTATGTTCATTTGCTCACCATTTCTGGCAAAATTAGCAATGGCAAGAGCGCCTGACAGCTGCAGCTCAGTGTTTGATGACTGCAGCCAAGCGAGAACATCCTGATACACCATCCCCGTCCCTTCTCCAAAACATTTCTGCATTGATTCATCTGTAATGAAATGCAGATCAAGCTCAAAACAAATAATCTGCATTAAATGAATGATTGCTCAATTAAGCAAATTCGATATAGAGTTGAGATAGAACAATTATTTGTATACATCTTTTACAGTAGTTTTAAAATTATTTGGGATTTTAGTTGTGGATACTTACAGTAGCAAGCTAGTTAAACATCGTTTTACAAAATAACTTCAACAAAACTTTTTTAAAAAGTTTTTTTTTTTTCTGGAAAACACAGTAATCAAAATTAGAGCATTTGCAATGACTGTCACAAAGAACATGACAATAAAATTTCAGAAGGTTGTAGCAGACATAAAATGAGTAGTAGGTGTAGAAGCTCTTGTTTTTTTTTTTTTTTTACTTGCACATCTGCAACCACCAGACTAGTCTCTCTCCTTATCACTAGTCCCTCATAGACATCACTACTCTCTCACAAGAAAACATTCTTACAGATCATTCCTAGTCTTTCAAAGGACATCCCTAGTATTGCGCAGGACATCACAAGTATCTCACTGAACATTACTTCCCAGCAGACACAGGATGTCAACATGACGTCAGAATGACATTGCACTGGGAAGTTGCATTTTGTTTGGAAATTAAAATCTGATTGACGACAGAACCCAACGTCAGGCCAACTCAATGTCCAATGTCTAACCTAACATCAACCAAATATCAATGTCTAATGATGTAGTTGTGTAGATGTATGAAGTCTATCATATGTTGGATTTTGGCTGCCGTATTTGACGTCAATGTGACGTTGATTTAAGATGTTTGCTCGAGGTTGGATTTCCAACACAACCTAAGATCGATCAAATATCAACGTCATTTGACTTCATTATCAGACGTCAAAATAACGTTGTCCTTAGATGCTGGCTAGACATTGAATTTTGATCACCTGACGGCACAACCTAAATCTTACTTAATAGAAAAGTCTTATGACATTGTGTGCCAGCTGGGTAGAACGTCACATGACATCAGTAGCCTCGTACTGGACATTACTAATCTCTCACAGACATTACTAGTCTGTCAGTGTGATTTTCAACCATGCTTTTGCCTTCACTCTGCCATGTAGCTTACAACAGGCCCTGCTGTGGAAAAGAGCACCAAACCATGCCACTTCACTTCTTTTTCTCACTGTCCATCTTGGGTTCTGTCTTTCCCTAGTTTGGCGACAGATGTTTCCCATTGGATTTAAATAACCTAATTTTTTACTATTTTACTCATGTTAGAAACCTTAAAATTAAGGAAATCGTTGGTTGGTTGTTCTCTAATTATCATCTCCACTGCATAACAAAACAGAGCTGCGCCATCTTGCGCTGTGTTTATGATGTATTCCATGATGTTGTTTTACTGGTTATAGACTAACAATGGATATAAATTATTCGAATAAAAGCAGTGAAATTAATTACAACAGTAACCACTGTAAAAAAAGTAATGGAGAGAGACATACCTCCCAGTAGGAGAGTCACTATGAGGTTTGAGGCCACTTTGATGCTGCAGAGGTCATGTGTGTCAGAGCCACCCTGAAGAGTTCGAATCATTTCGGAAAGAGCCTCAGGTACGCCTGACTCCACAAACTGCAGTTTCAGGGCATCTGAGTGACACAAACATGAATTTGCAGAGGGATTTACAAGGACACTTACATTTACGTTTACATTTACAAGGTAGCTATTTAAAGACATCATCATCCCACAGAAGAGTACTCACATTTAAGACATCATATTTCAAAAAAAATTTATGCTGTAAAAATGAGGTTGTGTGATCCAAGAACACATATGAACCCTATCTGGAATTAGAGCTCACCACTTTCTCCCAGTGAACCAAGAACCTCTAGTATGAGATGCCGTCGTTCTGCATCTGGAGCCCGTTTCAGCTGATGGGTCAAAACCTCAGCCACATCCACTTCTGTCAGAGCCTCCCGTGCAGCATCTGAACACAGATACTCATCAGAATCAATCACCAGACATTATATAGAAGCACTTTATTACCCAAAGTTTCAGGACTTCATTGCCACAGGTGTATAACATCAATCACCTAGGCATGCAGACAGCTTCTACAAACACTCTTTGCCACTATTGCAATAAGTCCTTTCCTGAAATTTACTCCCTACTTAATATTGTGCGGTCAATTGTTAGTGGTACGCTATAACAACATGAAACTAAACCAATTTAGACTTTTCATGACTTTTCAAGTGCTCCTATTATCTTCATTTGGCCGTCGTCTTAAATAAAAACATCTGCTAAATGATTAAATGCAAATGTAACATGAATTAAGCTATAAAGGGTAGGCTAGGTGAAACCACAGAGCAGGGTCAGAGCATCAATAGCTACAGAACTCTAAACTTTGTGTGGCCTGCAGATTAGCTCAAGAATAGTGTGTAGAGAGCTTCTTAGAATGGGTTTTCAGGGCCGAATAGCTGCATCCAAGCCTTAAATTAAGTGCAATGCAAAGCTTTAGATTCAGTGGTGTAAAGCATGCCACAACTGAGCTTTGGATCAGTGTAGATCAATTCTCCTGACCAAATAACAGTTTTCTTTCTAGCTATACAATGGACGAGTATGGGGTTGGACTTAGACCCTTAGTACTAGTGAAATTAATTTCTAGTGAAATGACGATTCAGCGTACTGTACCAAGATATTTGGAAAATTTCTTGCTCCTAACTTTGTGGGAACAATTTGGGGATGGCCTATTTATTCCAACGTGATTGTGCAGCATTGCATGAGCAAGTTTTGTGTGAAAAAACTTGACTGGCCTATACAGTAAAGGTCTGCATGAGGCAGTTTTTTAATGTCCCGCTCCTGCTGGGTTTTATTTCACACCTGACCTCACATGCTTTTTATTCACCTTTGTTCACCCACTGTCCCGACCATTACTGCTAAATTTTAATCCCATTTTCACAATCTCAAATTAACGTTTTCAAAATAACAATCAAAAATTTAGGGTATACAAAAATATATTTGTTTCAGGTTACTTTTAACATTTCTCTGTCACTATAATATTAAAATGTATCAAAGAGAGAAAAAAAAAATGAAATACAACATTTTTCATTTAAAATTACAAGTTGAAAGTCCTTTGAGCAAAGTGCATCCACACTTTGCTCCTTCACTCATCAAACAACCTGTTCAGTTCGAGGGCTATTATGCACAGTACCATGAATATTGACCTCTACTGTAGAGTCCTGACCTCAAGCTAAGAGAACAACACTGGGATGAGACCTTTGAGCGAGGGATTGTCTTCAAACATCAATATCTGACCTCACAAATGCTTTTAGAAGAATAACCAAAACACTCCTAAACCTTGTGGAAAGCCTTTCCTGAAGAGTTAAAGCTACAAAGTTATAGCTACAAAAGGTAGGCTTGCTTAATATTAAACCCTACGAATGAATGTTAGAGTGCCATTAAAGTGCACATGCACGTGCATTCAATGGCAAATGTCCCACAACCTTTAGAAATATAATGTATTGTGAGAAAAATATATACCTTAGGTTCTGCCTTAGGTTCATGGATGAAATGTATATTGGTAGCATACTGGTTTATTGATATTTGGCTTTTTTATGTGCTAAATTCCTCAATTTTTTGTATTTAAATGACCTCTGTCCTCATCTAATTCTCACTTCATCAACAACAAATGAGTTTTTTTTATAATTTTTAATATGTAATCTAGAAAGAATGAAAGAAAGAACCAAAGAAACCAAAAAAAGTATTTTGGCCGTTGATGGATGGATTAATAGATGGATGCATGAATGGAAAGTTTTAATGCATTTATTAGTTATGAATGAATGAAAGTATGAATAACTTGAAAATGTATAGAGGTAGCAGAAATTAAATGTGTAAATGTTTTTGTCATAAAAATTAATGAAGTAGGTAATTCAATAAATAAAGTACATGTCATTTATTGGTTATGAAATAAATAAACAAATACATAAATAATATAAATAATTTTACATATTGGATATTTTTAAAAACAACTGCAAGAATCTAAAATCCCATGTACCCCTGCATAGTCTGACAGTGTTCAATCAGCCAGCATTTTACTAATGCATGATTTTAGAGCTTTTCTGCTCTCTATTTTTGTCTTACCCACATCAGCAAGGTTGCAGAGAGCCAGCAGGCAGACGTTTACCAGTGGGTCATTCTCAGGATACTGCTGCATTATGGCCACCAGCCTGGGGATTACGCCATTCTCCACCAGCTGCGTCTGCTGAACAGCTGAAAGAGAGAGAAAGAGACACGCGGGGCGGATGGGTGAGTGGGCACACGGAGACAGACTGCCAACAAGAGCCAAAGAAGATGTGAGAACAATATAATGGAGAAAACAGCACAGTAATGGGATTCATTTCACTCTGAATGCGTGTATTGAATGCTCAACATGAATAAGCTGTAGAAAGCTTTGCTGCAACAAAACAAGAGCAGAATATGCTTCAAATTTAAACCAGCTTACTCTGTAAAAAATGAAGTTAAAATATAGAAATGTTTTATTGTAGTACAGGTTACAAGTTTTGGTTTCCCTCCTTCCAAATGTAACATTTAAAGTCTGTGTGAAATCAAAATTTCCAAGGTTTTTTGTTGTTGTTGAACAATTAATCCACGCAAGTTAATCCACTGTGGAAAAAAAAACGGTTTGTTTTGGTAATGTTTAATCAAAGTCTGACCAATTGCTTTCACATTTGGAGTGGTGGTCCACAATATTCTTAATCAAGCCTCTCTTATTCACCTTATTCTTCGCGTACAAGTGGGCGCAGCCATTTGAATATTTTTGGTTTGAGACTTCCGGTCCGATCTTTAGACGTTAAAAACAGCTCGTTACGCTGTTTAATGTTGCAAACTGATATTTACTTCTTATATTATTATTCTTTTAATGTATAGTCACAAACACACTTGATTGTAAATTAGTTTGAGCATTTTCTGCTGTGTATTATCCTAGTCATCATTTCTCCCATTGGCAGCTGAATTGGAAGTTCTAAAATAATCGCAGAAATTAGCACACTTTCGCATTTTAGAAAAAGGTCAATTGAGTTAATTTGCTATAAGGGAATGATAATCTAAAAAAAAGCTCTGCCCCTAGTGAATTTTTTGTTTCAATTGGAATTACATCAGCATAAAATAAAATTCTCAGCAAGCTCAGGTTCATGGGTTTATGCAGACTTTTATTTGTTAGTGAAATATACTGATTTAACATAGGACATTCTTCTGAGTCTGATTCCACACTGCATATAACCAACCTGAGGGACAGTCAGCTACTGTCTCCAAAATGCAAACTTCAAAGTACCTGAGGTTTGCTGGTGTTTTGTCTAGAAGAAACTTCCCTTTAAACACAAAGTCAAAGAAAACTAGGCCAGGAGATGTCAATAGAAAAGAAAGACAATCCAAGGACTTACAAAGACATAAACCTCTGCTAACAAACATTTATCCCAGACACAGACCACTACATCATGATAAAGCACCATCATAATAAATGATCAAGTTGAAGGATGCTCAAAATCGAGATCCTGACATTTATTATTGTTCAAACAGAAGCAAAAAAAAAAACTGAATGAAAATGCCATACCAACAGACACATCAAGACTGTGCTACAACGCATCCAATTAACTGTCAACAGTTAATTTAGGGATGTCCAAACACTTTAACTCACCATTTTCGAAGCAGATCCTTCCGATAGCTCGACCCGTGTGCAGCAGCTGGTCCTGGTCTGGGCTTTTCAGTAAAGGCACTAATGCGGTCACCAGACCTGCTTCAATGCAGTGCTCCCTCACAGTGGCTGACACACACACACACACACACACACACACACACACACACACACACACACACACACACACACACACACACAATTTGTGTATTTATTTACATACGATTTAAATAATATATTAATTTGTATAAAAACTTCTGTTTTATTAAGCTTAATGTAATTGCTAACATAATGACACAATTATCTTAAACCATTACATACACTTTTGGACACTGAAAATAAAGGCCAAAAAAAAATCCAAAAAGACATTTGTTTGTAATACAATAAGACCTGTTTTTATTTTGAAAAACCTTTTGAGCAATGAGGATCTTCATGAAATCATCCGTGTCAGTAAAGAACTTTCTATTTTTAAAGTGTACTTGTAAAAGCAGTTATTATTTTGTCCCTCTGTCAGGTTTACTTTGTGGGTCAATGATTAACTCAATTAAAATGTCCCCCACAATTTATTTCAAGGTGGATATGAAAATTAAAAATTTTTTTTATTTTTTGTAATTAAATGATTTTTCATTCATTCATTCATTCATTTTCTTTTCGGCTTAGTCCCTTTATTAACCTGGGGTCACCACAGCGAAATGAAGCGCTAACTTATCCAGCATGCAAAAAATGCTTTTCTTTCTTAGATTTTTTGTCTTGTTTCTAGTCCAAATATCTAAAAGTTCCTAAATCAAGAAGAATTTTCTAAACAATTAAAACATATTGCCTTGTTTTGCTTGTCTAAAAAATGCTTCTTGATATAAGTAATTATAGATATTTAGACTAGAACAAGACAAAAAATCTAAGCAAGAAAAGTATTTTTTGCAGTGTATGTTTTACGCAGCAGATGCCCTTCCAGCTGCAACCCAGCACTGGGAAACACCCATACACTCCTATTCACACACATACACTACGGACAATTTAGATTACACAATTCACCTATACTGCATGTCTTTGGACATGTGGGGGAAACCGGAGCACCCGGAGGAAACCCACGCGAACACGGGGAGAACATGCAAACTACACACAAAAATGCCAACTGACCCAGCCGAGGCTCAAACCAGCGACCTTCTTGCTGTGAGGCGACAATTCAATTCAATTCACCTTCATTTGTGTAGCACTTTTACAATGTAGATTGTGTCAAAGCAGCTTCACATAGAAGATCATAGTAAATGGAAACAGTGTGATTCAGTTTTCAGAGCTTAAGTTCAGTTCAGTTTAGTTCAGTTCAGTGTGATTTAATAATCACTACTGAGAGTTCAAACACTGAAGAGCAAATCCATCGATGCGCAGTTCTACAAATCCCGAACCATGCAAGCACGTGGTGACAGCAGCGAGGAAAAACCTTTACCAATTGGTGAAAGTGAAGAATTAAAAAACCAGGAGAGAAACCAGGCTCAGTTGGGCATGACCATTTCTCCTCTGGCCAAACTTCTTGTGCAGAGCTGCAGTCTAGGTGCCGGAGGCTGGAGAAAGCTGGACCCCAGCGAAGACTCTTCTGTCTCACTGCGCCACCGCGCTGTCATTAAATGATTTTTGTAAATAAATTAAACTACCTTTTCATGTAACCCTAATATTATTCTAACAATATTGTTTATAAATTGTTTGTATAATTGTTATATAAATGAAAAAAAAATTATGTTTGAAATACCACAAAAACATTGATTTCTTTTTGTTTGCTTCACACATTTCACCTTATGTTTGCACTGTGAAGCTTCTTTTTTAATACTACTACTACTACTACTACTACTAATAATAATAATAATAATAATAATAATAATAATAATAATAATAGGGGCAGCACGGTGGTGCAGTGCGTAGTGCTCTCGTCTCACAGCAAGAAGGTCGCTGGTTTCATGTTCTCCCCGTGTTCGCGTAAAACATATGCTTGATAAGTTGGCGGTTCATTATGCTGTGGCAAACCCAGATTAATTTAGAGACTAAGCCAAAAAGAAAATGAATGAATTAATAAATGAATAATAACAATAATAATAGTTGTTTTTACCTTCTCTGGCCATCTCTGCCACCAGTAAAGTGACCTGAGAGGTGAGTGGACTCTTCTTCCTCAGGACTTGAGTCAGGATAGGCAGAACACCACTGGACACTATTTTCTCAGCTGTTCCTTTCTCTGGACACAGAAATACACTTCATTATTTTTTTTTTCCTTCACATTTGTTTTTATGCTTTTATACATTTAGACTCTTTTCTTTTTCTTTTTTTTTTTTAACCACACTGTACAAAATTTGTTGTATGAAATCAACAATCACATTCAGTTTGGTTGAGTTTTTTATTATTGATCAACTGTTGTTTAAAGCTCTGTCGGTTTAACTCTTCAGTTTTCTAATGAAAAGCCTGGGTACTCAAAATGACACCACCTATGTGAAAATTTGTAATGAAAAATGTGTATATTTGAAGCCAAAGGGTGCCACCACATTTGTCATTTTCATTTATTTTGCTTTTGTTTTCAGTTTGTTTTTGCTTAATGATGACAAAATGCAGTTTATAAGCAATGTACTGCTGAGTTTAAAAACAAAATCTGCTAAAACTAGCACAATTTGATTATTTTGTTTGTAGTAAGGCTGCACGGTGGTGCAGTGGGTAGCACGTTTGCCTCACAAAAAGAAGGTTGCTGGTTCGAGCCTCAGCTGGGTCAGTTGGCATTTCTGTGTGGGGTTTGCATGTTCTCCCTGTGTTCACGTGGACTTCCTTCGGATGCTCTGGTTTCCCCCACAAGTCAAAAAAAAAACATGTGGTATAGGTCAATTGGGTAGGCTAAATTGTCCACAGTGTATGTGTGTGAATGAGTGTGTATTGATGTTTCCCAGTGATGGGTTGCAGCTGTAAGGGCATCCGCTGCGTAAAACATATGCTGGAAAAGTTGGCGGTTCATTCTGCTTTGGCGACTAAAAGGACTTAGCCGAAAAGAAAATGAATTGATGAATGTTTGTAGTAAATGAATGTAAAAATACTTTTTATTTTAAAAAGTGGCAAATGGCCACTGGTATGGACAGATACTGTCAAATCAGCATCCTTTGAGAAATTGTCACAATCACCATCAAGCTAACATTCATAGATCACTGGAGAACATTCACATTTGCATGGACTACAATCCTGTATCAATTTGAACTACAAGTCCTGTCATGCAACACACACATACACACACCTGCTCCAAGTCTTCATTGATTACCCTCACACAGCTGATGCTTCTGAAGTACTGATTACTCACACATATACGGCTCACTTTGAGGCACTCATTGCTGAGTCTTGTTAAACTGATTGTGAACATTACGCCGTGTTTTCCTTGCCTTCCGTGTTTGAACCTTGCCTTGTTTTGTTTGTTTATGTTGTCTTCTGCCTGCCTTTTTGACCATCTGCCTGTTTTATGACCACGACTCTGGATTGCCTGTATACATCTGTTTGCCTGTGTTGACCGTTGCTTGCCTGACCATCTCTGTTTAATAAACCTGCGTTTGGATCCACACTTTCTTTGTCAGCGTCCCACTTCACATTACAGAAATCTAGTATCTAGAACAGGCATGTCCAAACTCGGTCCTGGAGGGCCGGTGTCCTGCAAAGTTTAGTTCCAACCTTAATCAGACACACCTGGGCTAGCTAATCAAGCTCTTACTAGGCTTTCTAGAAACATCCTTGCAGATGTGTTGAGGCAAGTTGGAGCTAAAATCTGCAGGACACTGGCCCTCCAGGATCGAGATTGGACACCCCTGACCTAGAATGTCTATTTTGCATTTACCTTTTGTCTTGTGATTAGTCTTGTGAAATATTTTACAGAATGCATGCTCTGTTTGATGGACTGAAAAACCATATGAATGCTTCAACAAAGCTTTAACAAAGCTTTCCCTGTTTTCCACTGATGCCAAATCAATTTCAAACCACGCATTCTTCCAGCTCGCTCCCCCTGTTGCTTCACCTTTTCTTTCATCTCCTCCATCAGGTTTTGTACCGTGCACTTCAGAGCTGTTCTGACAGCAATGCCTCAGAGTAATCCGTTCACATTCAAAGTGGAAGACAAGGATCTGCTCCTGAGACAGAGCTGCCAGCATGAGGAAATGTGTCACTATAGAATGTTCTCAAAAAAACATCCAGAAAGGCCACGATGGCAGGTCAAGCTGTCAGAGGAAGCCGAGCTGCTATGGAAACATCTACTTTGTGTTCTTTTGCGGAGGCTGCTTTTTCCATTTTTAGATGCAATCGCGATCCGAAAGCACAAGTGACGAGCCAAGAACGGACAGCTGGTGCAAACTAATTTGCGGAATGAGCAGAAGATGGGGAGCGAAATGGAGAAAAGGAGAGAAAGATTAATGAGATTAACCCTTTCTATCCTTCGCCTTCTCTCTCTCCCTCTCTCGAATGTAAATGCGGATTACTCGTCTCCTACTTGTGCCCCAAATCTGCTGTCAGGAAGATAAGCTGACCCTCTGCTGCCCCCTACATTGGATTGTCTTCCCACACACTTAAACATACACACACACACAAACACACACACAACTTCAAGGAGGAAGAAGCAAATAGCAGCTCACAGCAGGATGAGTCTGTAATGAGAGCAACACTAAATGATGGCCTTGCTCAGTAGGGCTACTGTCAACAACATACGTCACTTTTAGGTGAGATGAGGTCTTTTTTATGGGCTCTCATAAGGTTCATGGCCCTGAATTGGATGTAGATTTAGATGTATGAGGTTTAGATAATAAACCAAGAGAAATAGGAGCAACAAGCAGAGTGTGTGTATCTGTATATGTGTGTGTGTGTGTGTGTGTGTGTGTGTGTATATATATATATATATATATATATATATATATATATATATATATATATATATCCATTTTCTTTTCGGCTTAGTCCCTTTATTAATCTGGGGTCACCACAGTGGAATGAACCGCCAACTTATCCAGCATGTGTTTTACGCAGCGAATGCCCTTCCAGTGGCAAACCATCTCTGGGAAACATCTATACACACTTATACACTACGGAAAATTTAGCCTAGCTAATTCACCTGTACCACATTGTCATTGAAAACCCATGCGAACGCGGGGAGAACATGCAAACTCCAACTGACCCAGCAGAGGCTCAAACCAGCGACCTTCTTGCTGTGAGGTGACAGCACTACCTACTGCGCCACCGCGTCTCCTATATATACACATTACACCAGTGTTTCTCAACCACATTCTGATTTATAGAATTTAATTGTTAATCAATGTTAGTCAATTGTTCATATTTATTGACGATAGCCTACTGGTAGGCTCAGAAGGCTGTTATCATCCATCCACATGGATAATCAGCTATACTAATAGAGAAGCCAGCAGCTAGCAAGAAGGTCGCTGGGTCGTTGGTTCGAACCTCTGCTCAGTTGGTGTTTCTGTGTGGAGTTTGCATGTTCTCCCTGCCTTCGCGTGGGTTTCCTCCGGGTGCTCCGGTTTCCTCCACAGTCCAAAGACATGCGGTACAGGTGAATTGGGTAGGCTAAATTGTCCGTAGTGTATGAGTGTGTGAATGTGTGTGTGGATGTTTCCCAGAGATGGGTTGCGGCGGGAAGGCCATCCGCTGCGTAAAAACTTGCTGGATAAGTTGGCGGTTCATTCCGCTGTGGCGACCCCGAATTAATAAAGGGACTAAGCCGACAAGAAAATTAATGAATGAATGAATAAACATAAGATGTGTTTATATCACAAAAATTATAAATCACAATTTATTTGACAGCTTTTTACAGGCTCTTGAAAAGGTGATGGCACCAGAATTTGACGTTGCTTTAGTTTAGAAATATGGATTTTTGGGAATGACACACAGTGGTTTATAAATAGACTGAGGAGGGATAGTTAATGGTGTAGACTCACTCTTCTCTAATAGCAGGTTGAGCAGAACATCCAGATGAGGCTTCAGCTCCTCCTCCACCAGCTCTGTGCTCACACTGATGCCTTTCAGGGCCTCGCTGAGAGATTCTGAAACACAATCATAAGCGTCACGTACACTGCCGCACAACATTTCAAAATAACAAGCAGGTATGGCAGCGCCTCCAAGACATTTTTCATGGTGATTCATAACCATTGCGGTTAAACTATAGAGACAGCTGAGTTTATTCATGCATTCAGTAAATTTGAAAAAGCATATTTTTTTTTACAAAAATGTAATGAAGTAAATAGAATGCTGTTGATTTATTTATTTTTTATTAGAGTGATATTGAATATTTATTTTTGCACACTCATTTATCCTGTTTTTTTTTTCTTTAGATGACCTTACTTAAGATTGCTTACTTCTAAATCCATTCAGATCTTTTATAAATCTTATATTTAATAACTGGTTTGTTATTATTATATTAAAAACACTTTTTGGCATATTTAAAACATACACTAAAATACAATATATTTAAATATTTACAAACATACAAGGGCTGAAGCAGTGGCGCAGTATAGTGCTGTCGCCTCACAGCAAAAAGATCACTGGGTAGCTGGTTTGAGCCTCGGCCCAGTTGACGTTTCTGCGTGGAGTTTGCATGTTCTCCCTGCGCTCGCGTGGGTTTCCTCCGGGTGCTCTGGTTTCCCCCACAGTCCAAACACATGCGGTACAGGTGAATTGGATAGGCTAAATTGTCCGTAGTGTGTGAGTGTGTGTGTGTGTTTGTGTGTGTGTGTGTGTGTGTGTGTGTGTGTGTGTGTGTGTGTGTGTGTGTGTGTGCGTGCGTGCGTGCGTGTGTGTATGTTTCCCAGAGATGGGTTGCGGCTGGAAGGGCATCCGCTGCGTAAAAACTTGCTTTTTCATTCCGCTGTGGGGACCCCGACTAAGCCGACAAGAAAATTAATGAATGAATAAACATACAATATATTTTCAGCTGTATTTATCTGGATTGATTTTGATTAATATTGGATATTTTACCTAGATTGATATTGGATATTTATTTTTGCACACTCATTTATCCAGTTTAATTGTTTAATTTAACCTTAATTGCTGACTTCTAAATCCATTATCTTAAACTCTTTTTTTTAACTGTTTAATAACTGTTTATTGTTGTATTTAAGACACTTGTTGGCATATTTAAAATTGCACATTAAAATACATTCTATTTAAATCTTTATAAACATACAATTCACCGTAAAAAAAATGTTGGGTTCCACACAATCAATTTGAGTTGGAACAACATGAACAAATTAAGCTAACTTATTAGTTTTCACAAATTTAAGTTGATTGAACATAAAACTATTAAGTTGTCTAAAAAATGTAGATAATTGTGTTGTTTCAACTCCTTTTAAATAAATACACTAAACAAGCAGCAATCAACATTTTTGTGTATGTTTACAGCTTTTGTGTATTCATTTACACAGCAAAACACAAATTCATAAAAAAGGATTTGAAGTTGCAAGTTTCTGTGTAAATAAAAATAAAATCTAAAAAAGCTGGGATATTTTGAATTTAAGACTTAACCAAGTAAACTAACATCAATAAAAAGTATTAAATAAAATGAATTTAAAGGCACAACAATTAATGTTAATGGTGAATAAGAAAGCATTTATGTTATCTTTTGTACCCAAATAAATTTTTAAGTATCTTTAGCTAATTAGAGAACTTTTGTTTTGGAAAACTTTTGTTTTCTTTTTCTCATTCATAATATTGTGATGCTGTATTTAAACTGTTAAACAGAAATGATCCCGCAAATCTCTAGTTAACACTTTACTAAATTTACATGCAGTGATGCCAAATATTGTTGCTAGATTTAGCAATTTTTCAGACTGGCAACATTGATCTTGGTACACAAAACTTTACAGAAGCATAAAGGAAAAACTTTTTAAACAATAGTTTTCTTCTAAATAATAATTAAAATACCTATAATATAATATAAAGTCCCAATGAACCGGAAGCTAGGATCTTTTTTTTTCGTATTATGATGCAGTTCCTAGAAACAAAATTTTAAATGAGCAAACAGAGGGTGTGGCGTATTTTTTCTCCCACAGGCTGAATTGATGTAAAGTAGGCATTTTATTCAGAAAGATCGGGAAGGGAGTTTTAGTAGAGCTATTACAACCTAACAAACTCCTCCTGCTCACTATTTCTGTTTGATGGGTTTGATTTTGAAAGTGACTGTTAAATTAGCGCGGTTAAGCATGTTTGCCACGCCTATTACCTCAAAAGCACATTATCTAATAATTTAACTGAAAACAGACAGGAAGTGCATTTTCAGATTTCAATTAAAGATCAGAAGGGCAAACATTTTTTTTTCTTGATGACATGCACAGATGAATTGTTCACCACGAAACTTACAATGTGACCTAAAATAATCATATGGTTAGTTTTGATTTTTGGGAACTTTAAAGCTAAAGGTTATCATAGAAAAATTAAATAGTTTTTTTTAATATAAATTCAATACTGATTATTAATAACTTTTTTAAAAACTGTTATTTCTTTTAAATTCTATATGTTTTTATTAACAGCCTAAAAGTAACCAATCTTTTTATTTATTTAAAACTTGTTGTTGCATGTTCATTTTACAATGCGAGTTAAATATTATTGCCTATAACCTGAAAATAACTGTTGGTATATAACTACTATTTTTAAATAGTAGTATTATATATACTAACATTTTTTCCTATTGGATATTGTTATTCTCTAATAAAATTGACACAAAATGGAGAATATGATTGACTTCTCTTCCCTGCTGTGACACAAATTACTCTTGTAGGGACCTAACTTTGTACATTGGATATTGATCTGGATCGATGTTGTTTGCTAATTACGTTGATGTCATTTGACTTAAAGGTTGCTGTATCAGAGGAATAATTATCCCATCATACATCATCAAAACGTCATCAGAGGGAAACTTCTAAAGAAGATACTTCAACAGATGAATGTAAAAATAATATTACAATACTCCATCAAAATAAGAACAGTAAACTATGATCTCACGTTGACTTTAAAGACCAGCCCAGGATTATTCAAGCACTCTCCTTTTGATGTTAGAGCCTGTGGACAATCATGTCAATGTGATTAACCGTGACATTCTTCAGTCCCCATGCATATACACTACACATTCAAAGGCAGATGAAACCACCCCAAGATTAAATGTCATTCTCTCTCTGCAGTTTTGCCCTTTGCACAATATGACGGTCATTCCCTGGGCACAGGAAGAAAACAGGGCCAGAAAGAGAGAGAGGGAGAGATGATTCTGTATCTCTTCTGTAAGTAATCACCCTGATAATCCCTGGTAAGCAGAGTGAAAATAGACATAGAGAAGGGCTATCATACCTTTCCCTTCCCCACACTCCCTTGCTACCATCCATTCGCAGGCACAATAGATCTGTCCTGTGATCCCATTCCTCTCCATTATAGGAGTAAAGGGCAGGCTGGAAAGCAGCAGTGCGTATGAGGGCTGGGCGGGGTAGAGGAGACCCTGGGGCTCTCATTAACTCTGGGTGTCTGGATCCCAGCATACCCTTACATCAACACCCACACGCTGAGGATACACCCCTCGAACAACGAGCTTCAACTCACCTGGAGGGTTAATCACAATTCTGTTTGCTCCTAAAAGTGTGACCTTTAGAAGCCAAAGATATATGCTTTCAAAGTTACACCTTGTATTATGGGATCCAAACTTGCTGCAGAAGCACCAAACAAGATTACGAATGAGAGATCTGATGAACTTACCGATGTCTGCCATGACTAACGTTACAGGTCTTGTGGTTTCTCCTCCGAACGCTGTGTATTTACAGAGGCAGCCCTCCTCGAGGAAGGATGGATGGCTCCAGCCCAGATATCGCCTGAAGTAGCCGTGCTTCTCCTCTCCTCCGCTCGGCTCCTCACCCTTCCCGTTTGTGCAGATCACACATGCGTATTCCTCCGGTCCCTCGCTGTCATTCACTCCCTCACTTTCACTCGGTGCCTCTCAGTGACGCTGCATCCACTTTGGCTAATACACATGCCCTATTATTTCTGTGTATGTGTGTGTGTGCGTGTGTGTGTTTCTCTTTTCCTCTCGCCGATGCAATCCGGTGCTCGGCTGTCTGGCAGTATTCTTGCTGCTTCTCCCTCCTTCCCTCCCTCCTCATAATACACTCTAAATCCTAAAGCTGCTCAAAGCTCATCAGTTGACAATTAGCCCGAGGAAGACGCCGAGGCTGACACACAACCCCTCGGTTCTATTAGACGTGCTTTGCATTGCAGTTCTCCATCTTCATGGAGGATAACGTGAATTATGAACACCGGGTCTGTGGCCCTGAGGGGTCTGGCAGCTATTTATCAAGATATTAGCAAGGCTGTGTCTGAGGGGAAGAGCTGTTTAAAGAGATAGTACAGCTTAAGTCTTGGGGATGCTGCATCAATATTGGAATGTTGGACAGCACTGGGGGTAAACAATAACTATTTTAATTTGAAAGTCGATAACCGATACAACACGAAAAATACAAATCTTTTATGAAACTAATTACATAAACTAAACGCAAACTGAGCAGACAAACGGTGTTATTTTAAAACAGGGAATGTAAGGATATGAGGTGCCGTGTAGGATTTAAATCCAACTTCGCTTATCAACACATACATAAAACACATGCATATACACCTATAAATTACTCGCATATACACCTGAATGTTCAAAACAACAGATGAAACTTGTGTATGTACATATAAACTTGACGCATGCAAACACACCTATACACACTCGCATATAAACTCTATTCTCACATAAACACCCACATTTACACACACACAAATACATATAAACTCGCAGCATGCAAACACCCCTATACACACTCGCATATACATATAAAATCAATCCATGCATATGCACCCATAAACTCTCACATATGATTGTAAACTTGATGTGTGCATAAACACCCAGATAGCACTCTTGCAAACATACAAAATAAAATTCACAAACATATATACATTTCGTTGTGTGTTTGTGTGTGTGTGTGTGTGTGTGTGTGTGTGTGTGTGTGTGTGTGTGTGTGTGTGTGTGTGTGTGAGTGTGTGTATATTTATGCAAGTGATTTCATATGTGTATATGCATGAATTCTCAGTGTAAAAGGAAGTTATTTCAATTTAAAAGGAAGTGGTTTTATTTCAACGTAAAAGTCCGTTGAGCATAAATATACAAGATCATTATTTGTCATGAATCAAGTTATTGCAAAGAAACAGAAATAATGTGATTAATAGAGGTATTAAATCTGTTGAATTATGAAAATAGATTATGCTAATTCCAAAAAAAAAAGAAATAATGCTAAGGAATGCTCCAGCAAAATTAAAGGTTTATTGTGCAATTAAAATATTAGAAAGCTATGGGTTTATTAATTACATTATTTCTGTTTCTTAAGCTTTGCGATAACTTGATTCAGGACAAATAATGATCTCGTTCATGTATGCTCAACGGACTTTTACGTTGAAATTAAACTACTTCCTTTTAAAGTGAAATAATTTCCTTTTACACTGACAATTCATGCATATACACATGAAATCACTTGCATATAAATACACACACACACAACTAACTGTATACATGTTTGTGAATTTTATTTTGTATGTTTGCAAGAGTGTTATCTGGGTGTTTATGCACACATCAAGTTAACATTCATATGTGAGAGTTTATGGGTGCATATGCATAGATCAAGTTTATATGTACATGCGAGTGTGTATAGTTGTGTTTGCATGCTACGAGTTTATATGTATGTGTGAGTGTGTACATGTGGGTGTTTATGCGAGAATTGAGTTTATATGTGAGTGTGTATAGGTGTGTTTGCATGCAGCAAGTTTGTATGTATGTGCATGTTAATGTGGGTGTTTATGTGAGGATCGAGTTTACATGTATGTGCGTGTGTATGTGGGTGTATGCATGCGTCAAGTTTATATGTACATACACAAGTTTCATCTGTGTTGTTTTGAACATCCAGTAATAAAGGTGTATATGCAAGTAATTTATAGGTGTATATGCATGTGTTTTATGTATGTGTTGATAATCAAATTTGATTTAAATCCTACATGGCACCTCATATAAGGAAACAGCTACTGCTGATCTTTCTTTTTGCAAATTCACTTGGAAATTGCACATTTAACAACTTTTTTTTCCCACAGTGAAGCTCTTACACCACCAACATGTTGTCTTCCCTCCACTGTTCTAAAGTGTGCATCTGCTGTGTGAGACATGTCACATTATGTGAAAAGCACCAATCAAAAAAAAAAAAAATTAGATATAGTAATCTTTATTTACTGGCTTTAAATGTGCCATATGCATGGGTATAACTCAGGCCCGTAGCCAGCTTGGAGAAAGAGGTGTTTTTTCTCTTTTGCAGTTATACGAAGGACGGTTACGGCAGGTTGTAATGTCGGCCGTCCACGTCTTCGGTAGAAAGACAACTCTTTCTTTAATTGTTTTTGGAGTTTGCTTGAAAGCTTTACGGAGTGGCACTGTAGCTGTCCAAGATAATTGTATGATTTATATTATAGTCTAGGCCTATATAAGCACCAATAAACTAGTCAAATAAATGAATTAATAAGTAAATATGGATTCTTAGGGCCTACTCACACTATGCCATCCGTACCGTGCCCAGACCCGTTTCCCGGATCATTTGAAAAGTGTGAGTGCACGCTGAATCGGGCTCAAGCACGGTTCACTTGGCAGGCCCTGGCCCGGTTAGAAGAGGTGTGCCTGAGCGCGGTTCACTTGGGCTTTGGCGCGGTACGCTTGTGTGTGAGTGCAAAACACGCCAAAGCCCGAGACTGAAAGCGAGACGTGACTTTTAAGGGACTGTTTCATATGGATTTATTAATCATTCTTACTGTTCAGTGAACGCAAACTGCCATAGTTTATTAAAAACGAGAACTCCTCACAGCACGACAGCTGCGCAGCTTCAGCAGACCTCCTCATTCCTGCAGCATGAGGGCTTTATGATTGTTTATAAGCGCCAAAAGTGGTGGATCTGTTCGGCGAAATATCTGACTGCGTGTCACTGCATCCCTAAGAACTGTTTGGCGAAAAATTTGACTGCATGTAACTGCATATCAAACGACTGACACGATATAACCAGAGAAATCTCCACTGTGCTACTGAGTGAGAGAGCGCTTCTCACTGAACAGCGCAGCAGCGATGACGTAAGCGTGCCGAGGCCTGTTTGTGGTGTGAGCGCGGGCCGTCGGGGGAGACGGGAGGGGGGACAAGCGTGCTTTGGCCCGGTTCAAGGCAACTGTACCTAGTGTGAGTACGGACTTTTAAATGTCGTTATTGCTTTTACTCAAAAATATAGGCCTAAGGTTTTAATTTTTTTTTTAGGTTTTGTTTTATAAAAATAAAATGAACTTTTTTCATCATTTCAGCTATGGGGCATTATGTGATTCTGTTATACATAGGTTTGACATTTATGAGGGCGTAACATGTTTCTGTGTTTTCGTTTTTTTTCTTTAATACACAAAAAAATATTCAATGATGATTTCTTGGATTTACTCATTTTTTTACGTTAAGTGGTTGTAAACACTTTATTTGGGCTGAATTTAAACAAATAAAGTTGAACATTATTAAACTTAATTTGTTTGTTTAAATTCAACACAAATAAATTGTTTGCAACAGTTCTGCATGCAACATTTTTTTCAGTGATATACTGGGCAGCTGCGCAAAATATTTTGTAAAACGTCAAGCAGGAATTTATTTATAGCTTGTTAGTTAATTATTAAGACAAAAAATAATTAAAATAACAAAAATAAAATGATAAAAATACAAAGATAAAAGAGCACCATTTTGCTAAATATAGTCCTTTTTATGCTTCATATCCTGCTATATATTGTGTTGTTTCATATTCGTTATTTCACTTGCTGCATTCGTTATTTAATGTTTGAATCCTGAAACAAATAACAGCCATTGCTTAAAGGGTTATATTTTACCACCAAAATGTAGTATATTTTTTATCATTATCAACTTTTGATATAAAACCGCTGTGTAATTCAATTGTTAAAAATGAAATAATTTAAGTGCTATATTTTTTATTAGAGAAAGTGCCCTCTCACTTTTGACAAGGCCTGTCCAAAAATATATTTCTGCCACTTTATATACACTATTATTGTCGCCTTATCATTGTTTAATTTTCTGTTATGTTCATAGATTTTAAATATATTATTTATTTCCCCTCCAATCATTTTCAATTATCACGTTACATTTTGGTCATTTTCCCTAAAAAAATTAGCCAGAGCCGCGCAACATAGGCTACCTTTAAATAAATAAGGGTGCTGACAAATGTAGCCTACCTATATTTAGCAACCCTATTTGATAGAACGGCATAACAGTGTTAGTCACATGGTTGCTTTAGCTTTTATGAACATAAAAAAAACTAGTTTCGGCTATTATCTAAATTCAATTGAACAAAGGGAGCCGTTTACATTGCATTACCAAGGCAACTACTGATGCGGGTTGTGTAATGTTTCAAAGGGCTTTGTCGCAGCACGACAGTGGAAAATGAAACCGTATCCGTGCTGTCTGGATCTAGTTGGCATAATGAAACGGTTCTGCTTAAAGCACGATTCAGCACGATAGTGGAAAAGCAGCTGATTTTTTTGACAGTCAGCGAACAGTCACGCGTTTTCAGTCAAAAATACAGCGTTTACAGCACATGAATTACAATACTCTAAAGAGAATGATTACACGAGATTCAACAGAGTTCTGGAGCCACAGTCGCGTAGAGGAGCGTCTGAACAGAGAGCTTTATCTGCGGCAGTCGTGGAGAACCAGACATTAGGTAAGAGGACAGCAGCACAGTGGAAAAATACTGTATTATTTTAGAGTACATTTACTATAGGACATGTAGGCCTAGTTAATTTCCTGACAAAATACTGCAGTGTTTTTGGTATTTACTATAGTCACAAATCACAATGATGTGGTGATTCTATTCTGCTATACACTTACTGTAGTAAAGTCGTTTAAGTCGATAATACACTGTATGAACTAGGCCTACAAGACAAATTATGACAGAAATCTAAAATGTCAACATCGATGATATTAAATTGAATATATATAAAATGATATCATTATTTAAATTCATATTTTGACTAACGTTACATG